ACTCTATGTACGTGTGTGTAAATGTACATGTTATATGTGTGTGTAAATGTATCTTATGTACATGAGTGTAAATGTATGCTATATACGTGTGTAGAGGTACCTGTTATATAAGTGTAGATGTACATGTTATATGTGTGTATAGATGTACATGTTATATACGTGTGTGCAAATACATGCGCTATATAAGTATATAAATGTGCAATATATAAATGTATGTAAACGTGTGCTATATACGTGTGTAGATGTACGTATCATGTAAGTGTATATGTACATGTAATATACACATGCATAAATACACATGTTATGCAAGTATGTAGATGTACATGTTATATATGTGTGTGTAAACATATGCTATATGTGTGTAGATGTACGTGTTATGTGTGTGAGTGTACATGCTATATGTGTGTAAATGTCCATGTTTACACACATATATACGTGTGAGTGTACATGTACCTGTATGTGCAGAGGCATCCCTAAACAGCACCCGTGTTTAGCGCTGCACGGCCGTCACACACCTGTGTGGGGCCTGATGGACACACAGAGCCGCTCGCTCCCGCCGCGGCTGGCGTCCATCCTGGGGATCAAGTGGCCACTGCCCCCCGCTTCCCACCGACAGGCGTGGACATCACGTCCACTCTCTGAGCTGCGGTCACCGGGAGGCCCTGGCTCCGGATGGGCAGGGCCAGGCTCGCCCTCCCTTCCCTGCCCCCCGCTGCCCTGCTGGCCCCCAGGTCCAGCCCCCGACAGACCCGCGGGCAGGGGACGGGACCATGTCCCTCGCAGCCTCGCCAGCGCTTCCGATCGCCCCGAGGAGGCCGGTGTGGCCGGCCCGGTGGGAACGGCATCCACGTGGATTGAATGAACGTGCGTTTCCTGGATCCGCACCCACCGACCGGGGCAGCCCGGGCTCGGTTCCCATAAGCCCCTGTGCAGGGCGGGGGTGAGGGGGAGAAGGGGGGCTGCATGGGTCCCTCTGGCTGTGGGGGGGGGGGGCGGTGAGGGTGGGAGCCACCTGTTCCGATCTCTCCCTAAAGGCCTGTGGGACTCGCTCCCCCAGGACTCAGATCCTCACAGGGGCACCCACTAACATCTGTGGGTCCCTAAGACTCCCCCCCTGGTCTGGGTGCTCCTGTGCCCAGCCACAGTGTGTGTGTGTGGGGAGGAGGGGGTGCATGTTTCTGCTTTACTTATTTTTTTTTAAATATATTTTTACTAGAGGCCCGGTGCACGAAATTTGTGCACAGGTAGGGTCCCTAGGCCTGGACAGAGATCAGGGCCAATCTGTGGGGTGACCAGCAGGCAATCAAGGGGCCCCCGATGGCACCCACCTTGGCTCGCCTGGGGCCTGCGGGCTGTGGGCAGTTCCTACATTGAGCATCTGCTCCCTGGTGGTCAGCGAACGTCATAGCGACCCGTCATTCTACCGGTCCTTCCCCTGTTTGGTCCATCTGCATATTAGGCTTTTATTATATAGGATTGATGGAGACAGAGAGAAACATCCATGATGAGAGAGAATCATGGACCGGCTGCCTCCAGCACGCCCCCCACTGGGGATCGAGCCCGCAACCCGGGCCTGTGCCCTGACCGGGAATCAAACCCGGGACCCTTCAGTCCGCAGGCCGACGCTCTACCCACTGAGCAACACCAGCCAGGGCTGATTCGCCCTTTGCCCTTTGCCGGTTCCACGATAAATGCTGCATCTCTTTCAAGCAAACGTGAACCAGAAGCTGGGCATGTCCGGCTCGGCCGGGTCCCAGCCCTGTGGCCTTGGGTCCTTGTGCGAGCCTCAGTTTCCTGGCCTGAGAAATGGGGTTGTGGTCTCTGCCTCCTCATGCCCGGGTGGTGCCCTGAGCGGAGAGTGGCAGCCTGTGGATCAGGTGCTGAGGGAGTGGCCGGGGAGTGGCTGAGCTGAGTGAGAGCGTTGCTAAGCGAAGAGTCAATAAACACAACCCCTCCCAGCACAGCTGCCCCAGCAGCTGCCCAGCTCCCGCAGGAAGCAGGCTGAGGCCCTCCCTCGAGTCTGCGCAGAACACAGGCCCCATTCAGGAGCCTAAGCAGCACAGCACGTGGACACGGCTCATCCCCTCTGTGAGCCGGGCTCCACACGCCTTATCCATCATTTTTTAAAAATATTTTTATTGATGTCAGAGAGGAAGGTAGAGGGAGAGAGAAACATCCATAATGAGAGAGAACCATGGATCGGCTGCCTCCTGCACGCCCCTCACTGGGGATCGAGCCCACAACCCGGGCCTGTGCCCTGACCGGGAATCGAACCCTGACCTCCTGGTTCCTAGGTCGGTGCTCAACCACTGAGCCACGCCCGCAAGGATCTCAGGGAGCTGAAAACAGCTTTAAGCCCACGCTCCGTTCTGATGAGCATAAAAATGTCTTCCGTGTTTGATGTCTAAGGAAAGTCACCTCCACAGCCGGACCCATCTCCCTCCACTGGGGCCACACGCTAGGTCCCCAAACCAAAGCTGTGCCTTCAATAGAAGTATTTTATGCTGATCCTAGAGGCCTGGTGCATGAAATCCGTGCAAGGGGCTTGGCCCTCGCAGCCCCTCACAGCCCCTCACAGCCCCTCACAGCCCCCGCTTCGTCTGGAGGGTCATCCTGAAGGACATCTGGAAGGTCGTTCGGCTGTTCAGTCTAATTAGCATATTATCTCTTTATTATATAGGATTTTCCCAGAGGTTTTTCTTTTTTTTTTTTTTAGTTTAAAAATCCCTACATGTTAGCAGTTAAACCAATTCAGTGGTACTTGATGATAGAAAATGATAATGAGCCCTGGCTGGTGTGGCTCAGTGGATAGAGCTCTGGCCAGTGGACCAAAGAGCCCCGGGTTCGATTCCGGTCAAGGGCATATACCTCGGTTGCAGGCCCCTCCCTGGCCTGGTCCCTGGTCGGGGCGTGTGCAGGAGGCAACCCATCGATGTGTCTCTCTCACATCGATGTTTCTCTCTGTCTCTCCCTCTCTCTTTCACTCTCCCTAAAAATCACTGGAAAAATATCCTTGGGTGACGATTAACAAAAAAACCATCCTATATAATAAAAGCTTAATATGCAAATTGTCCCCTCAACCAGGGGGCGGGAGGCCCCCAGCCAGCAGCTGGCAGCTGCTAGGGACCCTGCCCTCCGACAAATTCCGTGCACGAGGCCTCTAGTCATAATAATAATAAAGAAAATGATAGGGAGATACACGTTGCCTTCCTCCCTACTGGCAACAGTCCATCCTATGCCTCTCTGGTATAACATAGGTAAACATATGAGCACATGTCTAGTTATCTCCCCCTCCATGTACATACATAACATACAACACGTGTGCGGCATTACACGCGCTGATTGTGATGCGGGCACCGTTCTCATCGATATTCATTGGTCAGCTCCTCAGCCTGGAGGCCCACGGCTGAATGAATGTTGTTATTGTTCTCATTTTGCAAATGAGGAAGCGAAGGCCAGCAGTGGCCGGTCCCTCCCCAGGTCACAGCCCAGGTGGGGGCGCTGAGATGTGCGTCTGAGCTGGGGAGGGACCGTGTCACCTGCCACCCCGCTCACCTGCGGCTGACAGTCCCTCCCTTCGGAGTCCTTGTCACACACCTGGCTCCTCGTCAGCACGTGCACAAAACATTCCATTTTGAGAGGGAAAGGAACAGGGGATTTGGAAACATTGTCATTTTTATGTATGTCTTCGTTTTTTGTGACTCCTCACTCAAGGAGACTTTCCCATTGGTTTTTAGAGAGCGGAAGGGAGAGGGCGAGACAGAGAGAAACATCGATGTGAGAGAGAGACCCGTCGATGGGTTGCCTCCTGCCCGTGTCCCGACCAGGGCCCCGGCTGGGCAGGAGCCTGCCACCGAGGTACCTGCCCTTGACCGGAATCGAACCCGGGACCCTTCCGTTCGCAGGCCGGCGCTCTACCCACTGAGCCACACCGGCAGGGGCTCTGAAGTTATTTTTAAAGTTGAGTGTTAAATGCCATTTCTCTCCTCTCTAGAGAGTAAACGGCTCTGGTTAGAATAGTCTGCTCCCGTCCGCTCCTATTTCTAACCTGGCCTCGCTGCACTGAGCGCCTCGGGGCGCCAGTCCCCCCCCACCCCCCCACAACCCCCAAGTCACACCACGGGGTGGCCACTAGGGAATATCCCGTAGCCACAACTAGGGCGTCTCCAGTTGCAAGTCAGTCTTCCCTGACTTTGTGCAGGAGTGACTGGGTGAAAAAACACACACAAAAGTTACCGTTTTAGAAATGATTTTACTCCCAGAAAGTCACGAAGTAGATAGGCCCACGCACAGCACACATGCTTCTCCCATTGAGAAGGCCCCCCCTTGTTTTGCTATGGGGTTCCCTCATGGGAGGAGGCGCCCCACCCTCCTTCGCCGTTTCTGCCCGGGGTGCGTGCTCGCCCCAGGCCTCCCCTTGTCTGCTGGGGTGTCTGCAGGCCTCCTGATCCCTAGGAACACTTTGTGCTCTAAGAAAAGTTACTTTTAGTTCAAACAGGCTCCGGTTTTTCTCCCAGATCTGACTTTTTTATACGTTTGATGCGCTTCATTGTTTCAATGTGGTGACTTTATTCATCTTTGCTTTTTAAAAAATATATATACTTTGCTGATTTTTTACAGAGAGGAGGGGGAGAAGGATAGAGAGTTAGAAACACCGACCAGCCGCCTCCTGCACGCCCCCTACTGGGGATGTGCCCGCAACCAAGGTACGTGCCCTCGACCGGAACCGAACCCGGGACCCCTGAGTCCGCAGGCCGGGGCTCTATCCACTGAGCCACACCGGTCAGGGCTGATCTTTTCTTTTAAGGCTCCTGGCTCTCCGCCTGCGCCCTCGCAGGCCCCGCCCCCAGGGCCCCGCCCAGCGCCGTGTGGGCGGAGCCGGGCTCTGCTGGACCCGCCCTGGGGTGATGCGTGCTGCGGAGCCTCTCCTGCCAATCTCAGCGCGGGGCGGGGCCGGCCTGGGGAGCTTGGGCCAATCCGAGGGCAGGAGCGGGGCGAGGGCGTGGCTTCGCGCTCGGCCCGGGTCGGGGCGTTTCGGCTTCCGCCGCGCGTTCCCCCTGCAGCCCAGCCCGGACCCTGGACCCCGAGCCTCGCGCAGCCCCGGGCGCGATGGACCCCGCGCTGGCGGCGCAGACGAGCGAGGCGGTGGCGGAGAAGATGCTGGGGTACCGGCGAGACGCGTCGGGCTGGAAGACATGCCGGGAAGGCGTGAGTTGGCGGGAGGGAGGGTCCTGGGAGTGCCCCCTGGTGCTGGGGTCCACTAGGCCCGCCGGCTCCTCCTCTCCCTGCTGCTTTGCGTGCTCCCAGCCCTGGCGCTGGATTGAGGAGACCGGGCGGGGGTGGCAGGAGGGGACGGGGGAAGAGGGAGGGCGGAAGAAGAGGGAGGCGTTTCCCTAAACACAAATACTGGGTCATTGTGCTTGCAAAGAGGTATCTGCCCATTCCTGGGTGACCTTGTTCCAGGTCACCTGACTGGAGCTGTCCATCACGGTGTGAGCCCCTCCCTCCCTCTGCGTTCCCAGGAGGGTGTCCTGGCGCAGTTCCTTTTTCTTTTCTTTTTTTAAAATATATTTTATTGATTTTTTACAGAGAGGAAGGGAGAAGGAGAGGGAGAGAGAGTTAGGAACAGTGATCAGCTGCCTCCTGCTGGGGATGTGCCCGCAACCAAGGGACATGCCCTTGGCCGGAATCGAACCTGGGACCCTTGAGTCCGCAGGCCGACGCTCTATCCACTGAGCCACACCGGTTCGGGCGGGGCGCAGTTTCTTACCTGGCACTTCTGATGTTTAACGCAAGGGCCTCAACTGTTCCAGGAAATGAAATGGTGGCTTTTAAGGTGGTTTTAAAAGCGCTCAGAGCTCCTGGGGTCCGCCTGTTAGGACCCTCTCTCCATCCTGCCCAGCCTCAGCCCCCCTAACCCTGGGAGCACCCCATCTCCTCAGGCTCCCAGCCCCTCACCACCTCTCCTCGCTCTGAATCCTGCGGTTCTTTGCCTTTTGACAGAACGGAGTTACAGTTTCCTGGAGGCCATCCGTGGAATTCCCAGGGAACTTGTAAGTGCTCGCTGCTCGCCGCCCGTCAGGGCGCCGCACCTCCTGGGGACTCTCGGGGTTCCTTCCTAGCAGATGCCAGTCAGCCCTGGCCCGTGTGGCTCAGTGGATAGAGCGTCGGCCTGTGGACTGAAGGGTCCTGGGTTCGAATCTGGCCAAGGGCACATGCCCGAGGTTTCGGGCTCGATCCCCAGTGTGGGGCATGCAGGAGGCAGCCGATCAGTGATTCTCTCTCATCACTGATGCTTTTTATAAAATATATTTATTTATATATTTTTTAATATATTTTTTATTTTTTTACAGAGAGGAAGGGAGAGGGTTAGTTAGAAACATCGATGAGAGAGAAACATGGATCAGCTGCCTTCTGCACGCCCCCTCCTGGGGATGTGCCCGCAACCAAGGCACATGCCCTTGACCGGGACTCGAACCTGGGACCCTTCAGTCCGCAGGCCGATGCTCTATCCACTGAGCCACACCGGTTAGGGCTATTTATATATTTTTTGTTAATCCTCAGCCAAGGATATATTTCCATCGATTTTTACGTAGGGAGAGTAGAAGAGAGAGGGAGAGACAGAGAGAAACATCGATGTGAGAGAGACACACCGATGGGTTGCCTCCTGCACACGCCCGGACCAGGGCCCCGGCCGGGGAGAGGCCTGCAACCGAGGTACATGCCCTTGACTGGAATCGAACCCAGGACCCTTTGGTCCACAGGCCGACACGCTACCCATTGAGCCACACCAGCCAGGGCTCATCATTGATGTTTCTCTCTCTCCCCCTCTCCCTTCCTCTCTGAAATCAATAAAAATATGTTAAAAAGACAAAAAAAAAAAAAAAAAAAGGTGCCAGTCGGCCCAGCACCCAGCATGGACTCGCCAGCTCTCTCCAGAACCCCCCTCCCTCTTCTACTAACTCATTCCCAGCAGCTACGTCCCCGGGAACACGCGGCCCACGTCTGTCTGCAGGCCTGCGGGCGGGCGGGCGGGGCTGGTGGCTCAGCCCGCTTCCCCGCAAGGCTGGCCGGAGTGGAGATGGACATGGCCCCGGTCCTCCTGGGCTAGATGGGCTGATGGGGGCCGCCCCGCTCAGCCCCCTGTCTGCGCCGCAGGTACCGAGGGGAAGGCGTGGTGGACGCGGCCCCGCGGGACGTGTGGGCCTTTGTGAAGCCGCTGCCGGGGAGCCTGCGGGAGACGTGGGACGAGAACGTGAGCAGCTTTGAAGTGATCGAGAGCATCACCGACGTGAGTCTCCCCGGACCCCGCCCGGGAGGACCTGCCCGGCCCGCTGGAGGGGCTGGTGGCACCTTGTGGCAAGTGTGGGGGAGACTCTGCAGCCCCCGCCCCAGTGTCCACCGGGCAGGAGGCAGGTGACCCCGGAGCTCAGAGAGCAGTGGAGGCTGACGGAGGCTGTGAGGGCGGGAGGCAGGGACTGGACGTGACCGTGGGCTGCCGTGTGAATTGTCCCCCCAAACCCCACACCGCCCCCCCATGGGGCCACAGTGTCGGGGTTCCCTGCCAGCGTCCGGCTCGGCCAGGGGCAGCTCCTGGGTGACAGTGGCTCCCTTGGTGGGTCACTAGGCCAGCCCCACTGGTTAGAACTTTCTGGAAATATTCCCTGTCACTGTTCAGTAGTGGCGGCCAGCCCACGTGGCCCGAGAGCATTTGAAGGGAAGAGAATTGTTTATTTGTTTCCGTGACTGTCCGTGTAAATTTGTTTTATTTGTTTTTTAATATATTGTTGATGTCAGAGACAAAGGGAGAGGGAGAGAGAGACACGTCAATGAAGTAAGAGAATCATGGGTCGGCTGCCTCCCGCACGCCCCCCACTGGGGATCGAGCCCGCAACCTGGGCCTGTGACCGGGAATCGAACCCCGACCTCCTGGTTCCTAGGTGGATGCTCACCCACGGAGCCACGCCGGCCGGGCTCATTTTTAACATGTAACACGCCTGGCAGTTTGGAACAAAACAGGACGTCATGCTTTTAGCTGCACCTAAATCCCATGATGCTGTTGCCAGCATCCGCTCCAACAAACTCCTTGTTCAGAAATGGTACCTGCGAGTCTCTTACCAGGAACCTCAATTCCCGTTCCAAGCAGCCCATGCATTTATCCTGATCATTTATCCTTTTTAAAATATATATATATATATTTTTTTTATTGATTTTTTTACAGAGAGGGAGAGGGATAGAGAGTTAGAAACATCGATCAGCCGCCTCCTGCACACCCCCTACTGGGGATGTGCCCGCAACCAAGGTACATGCCCTTGACCGGAATCGAACCCGAGACCCTTCAGTCCGCAGGCCGGCGCTCTATCCACTGAGCCACACCGGCCAGGGCTGAAACTAAATATTTAAAACTCACCGGCTCCCTGTAACCACAAGCCTGCGTGGTGAGCAGCTGTGGCTCGCGCTGCGTTGGTCAGTGGCTAACAGCTCAGCCTTGGCTCCGCAGAACCTGTGCGTCACCAGGACTGCCACGCCCTCGGCCGCCATGAAGCTCATCTCCCCGAGGGACTTCGTGGACCTGGCGCTGGCCACGGAGCTCGAGGACGGGACCCTCATCTCCAGCGGTGAGCGACCGACAGGCCGGGCCCGGGACTGGGGGGCGGCCTGGGCTGCTGCTGCTCCCACCCACTCCACAAGGAAGCTGGTGGTCGTCCTGCCCCCAGGGCACCCAGCCCTGCCCTGTAGGGTGGGGGCAGGAGCCACGGCCATCAGAGACAGGACGGTCCAAGGCCGATGTTTTATGGTCTTATTTTATTATTGTTTCGTTAAGCCTCGCCCGAGGATATTTGTCCATTGATTTTTAAAGAGAGAGGAAGAGAGAGGGAGAGGGAGAGAGAAACATCCATGATGAGAGAGAATCATGGATCGGCTGCCTCCTGCACGCCCCACACTGGGGATCGAGCCCGCAACCGGGGCATGTGGCCTGAGCGGGAATCGAACCCGGGACCCTTCCGTCTGCAGGCCGACGCTCTATCCACTGAGCCACACCGGCCAGGGCTGATACGTTTCTTGCTCTCCTTGCTGGGTTGGCGGGGGAAGCTGTGTGGGAAGGGCCAGTGGGTGGGGCCGCGGGGGCTCAGGACCTCGGAGCAGGTCCCTGGCTGCCTCCTCGGGCCCTAGGTTGAGGTGCACACTGTGGGGCCCCACCGTCTGCCGCGGCGGCTCACGGCCCTGCGCCCTGTCTTCCAGCTGCCAACCTGGAGCACCCGCTGTGCCCCCCAAGGCCGGGCTACGTGAGGGGACGGAACCACCCCTGTGGCTGCTTCTGCGAACCTGTGCCAGGGTGAGGGCGGGCTTCTGGGCCGGGGGACTGGGAGGAGGGACAGACAGGAGGGACAGACGGAGGGACAGGGAGGAGGGACGGAGGAGGGGACAGCAGCTCGAGCGGGATTCTGCTCACAGCCACCCAGCCCCGCCCTGTCCCCTCAGTGATGTGCGCGGAGGACTGGACACAGGAGAGGCTGTGGGAGCGTTATTCTCCGCGTACAAGTGGGGACCCTCCCTCTGGTCCAGGCATCTGGTCCCATGGAGCAGATGAGAGCTGAGGCCCAGGGAGGGTCAGGGATGTGTGCGGTCCTCTCCGTGTCCTCTGAGCCCCGCCCCCCAGCCTGGGACCCCTGTCCCACAGGACGCCTCTGAGTGCACCCACTATGCGTCCCCCAGAGCCCAGCCCGGTGGAGTGGTCCTTGCTCTCACAGGGGGTGGCCAGTTTGCACCAAGTGGTTCTGGGTAATAACCTGAAGTCACTGGGTCAGGCTGACAGCCGGCAGGTGGGTCAGAGGCCCTGAGTGGGGTGGGGTGCGTCCTGGGAGCTGCGGAGGCTGTTGGGTAGAGTGGGGGTGGAGGAGGTGGGGGTCTGGGCCTCGAGTAGCAGAGGCCACACTGTAGGGCCTGGGGCCCTGTGAGGACTGGGCGCCAAAGAGGAGGCCACTGTGGGCTCAATGCTGTGATCGATCGAGGACAGGCGGTCAGAGAGCAGTCAGCAGTTCTCTCAGCGGTCCGCACACTTTGTCGGCAAACATTCACTGACCTTAGAGGCCTGGGTTTGATTCTGGGCGCTCTGCTCTGTTCCACGGGTCTGCGTGTCTGTGTTTAGGCCAGGGCCAGGCTGTGAGATGACCCAGGGCTCGTGGTGGTTGAGGTCAGGCAGCGAGGCTCCTCCAGCTCTGTTCCACGGGTCTGCGTGTCTGTTTAGGCCAGGGCCAGGCTGTGAGATGACCCAGGGCTCGTGGTGGTTGAGATCAGGCAGCGAGGCTCCTCCAGCTCTGTTCTTCTTTCTCAAGATTGCTGTGGCTCTTCGGGCCCTTTTGTGGTTCCTATAAACTTTTTTTGGAGTATTTGTTCTAATTCGGTGAAATATGCCGTTGGTTATCTTGATAGGAACCGTGTTGAATCTGTGGATTGCTTTGGATCGTGTGGACGTTTTAATGATGCTAATTCTTCCCATCCATGAACATGGTATGCACTTCCATCCATGAACATGGTATACACTTCCCACCCATGAACATGGTATGCACTTCCCACCCATGAACATGGTATGCACTTCCCACCCATGAGCATGGTAGGCACTTCCCATCCATGAACATGGTATGCACTTCCCACCCATGAACATGGTATGTACTTCCCGCCTATGAACATGGTAGGCACTTCCCATCCATGAACATGGCATGCACTTCCATCCATGAACATGGTATGCACTTCCATCCATGAACATGGTATGCACTTCCCACCCATGAACATGGTATGCACTTCCCATCCATGAACATGGCATGCACTTCCATCCATGAACATGGTATGCACTTCCATCCATGAACATGGTATGCACTTCCCATCCATGAACATGGCATGCACTTCCATCCATGAACATGGTATGCACTTCCCATCCATGAACATGGTATGCACTTCCCATCCATGAACATGGTATGCACTTCCATTTATTTGTATCTTCTTCAATATCTCACAGTTTCCCGAGTCCAGGTCTTTACCTCTCTGGTTAAGTTTATTAGCAGGTATTTTATTCTTTTTGATGCCGTTGTAAATGTGACTGTTTTCTTCGTTGGTTATTGGTGTGTAAAAAAAACATTATACTCGTAAATATTTTTCAGGGCTTTAGAGTTTTTGTCCATGTAGATCAAGCATGTCAAACTTGCAGCCAGCGGGCCACACCCACGAGTTTGACATGCTTGATGTAGATTATAACCATCAGTATTTACTGTGTTTGGAGGTAAAAATGGGAAATTTTTAGAATGTTTTAAAGTAACAAATTACATATTAAATATTTTTATGAAAAATCACGATATTTTTCTAAACAACCACCAAAAACAGTGGAAGGAGTGGCAGTGATTCACATTTGCCCGTCTCCGGACCGCCGGGCATAAGGGAAGCCCATGTCTGCTCCTGCGCCCGGGGTGTTGTGATGCCAACCGCCCGTCCTGTGGCCTGGAGCACACGCTACCTTCGTGGGTGAATGAGAGTGAAAATGGTTTTGACCTTCAGATGCCCTTGAAAGGGTGTCAGGAGCCCCCAGGTCCCCCAGACAGAGTGCGTGCCCTGTTTCCGGAGCAGGAGGTGAAGGACCTTCCGGCTGGGGATGAGCCGCTCCCTGTGGCCACTGGTGTGACCCTGGCACCTGCCCCGAGCACAGCGCCCCCTGCGCACAGCAGGTCCAGGGCCCAGGGCAGTGCCATCGCCGTCCAACCACGCCAGGGGCGGCTCCCTGCCTGCCCCACCTGCGGGCGCCTTGGCGGACGCCTCACCCAGCTGTGCTGTCGCCTCCCAGGGAGCCCGGCAAGACCAGGGTGGTCACCTTCTTCCAGACGGACCTGAGCGGGCTCCTCCCGCAGCGCGTGGTGGACGGCTTCTTCCCCCGCAGCATGGCCGGCTTCTACACCAACCTCCGGAGCGCAGTGAGGTCAGCAGTGCCCTCTCGTGCCCACGCTGCTCTGTCTGTGGCCTCCCCCCACCCCCCGTGTGTCCCCCGTACACTCCCTGCATGCCCCCCGCATGTCCCCTGTGCCTCCCCGCGTGCCCCCTGTCCCCCCGTGTACCCCCGTACACCCCCTGCATGCCCCACACCCCCGTGTGCCCCCGTACACCCCCTATGTGCCCCCCACATGCCCCCATCCCCCTGCGTGCCCCCCGAAACCCCCACATGCCCCCAGTGCCCCCATGGGCCCCCTTACAGCCTCTGCCTGCCCCATACCCCCCACCCCGCGTGCCTCCCCTACACTCCCCGTGTGCCCCTGTCACCCTGCCTCATGTCTCCCGTCCCCCCCATGTCCCCCCGTCCCCCCGCGTGACCCTGTCCGCCCCACAGCTGGGACCCCGGGCCTGGTGCGCTTATGCCGCCACAGCAGCTCCGCAGTTTGGTGTGATGGGCAGTATTTTCCAAAAACAGCCCAGCAACCGCCCCCTCCCTCCCACCCGCAGGCTGGTGCCAGCGCACGCAGAGGGCGCAGAGGCCGCGGGGCCCATCCAGTGACGAGGCGCACGGACCGGGTGGCCCGCCGGGGGACGCCCGCCTGTGGCACCCAGCACCTGTGGGGAGAGGCCCCGCGAGGTCGGCCGCCAGCCCCGTGAGCAAGAGCTGCCACTGGGGTCCCGCCGGTGCCCGTGAGCGGCCCTCCAGCCCGCCCGCCGCCGGGGGCCGTGGGGGTGGCTCGTCACGGCGCCGCCTGGGGACAGCAGGACAGCAGGACAGGGCTCGGCGGCAGGTGCAATACACCCCACTTTATTCCAGCGCGGTGTCCGCGTCGGCTCTGTGCATCGTCCGTTTCATCAGCCGCCGCGCGCCGCGGCCTCGCCTTCCGGGACCTGGTGCTGGGCCGTCCCTGCAGGTCCGAGCCCCGGCCGAGGCCGAGCCCTGGGCGGGCTGAGTGACCCTGAGAATCGTGTGCTGCGGCTCCGGCGTCCACGCGGCCTACGGGTTTCCAGGGCTTGGGGTCCCCTGGGGCCGCGGGCTCTTCCTCCGGATGAGGACGGGGACCGGCCCGTCGGGCAAGGCCTTGATGAGGCTCCAGGCCTCAAAGCGCGTGAGGCCCTGCGCGGCCGCGCCCGCCAGCTGTAGCACCTCGTCCCCCGGCTGCACGCTCTCAGGTCCTGAGGCCGCCCCTGGGGAGGGAGAGGGAGGCGTGGGCTCAGGGGACGGGACGGGACAGGCACCTCCTCCCGCCCGCGGCTGCGGGGACGGAGGGACGGCTGGAGGGAAGGAGGGACGGAGGGACGCAGGCGCACCTGTGAAAACCCGGTTGACGGTGAGGGGCCTGTCCCCTTGCAGCGAGCCCCGCCCGCCTTCCAGGCTGAAGCCCAGCCCCGCAGGCGTCTTCTCCAGCGTCAGCGTCAGCGTCACCATGGCGACCGCGGCCTCCGTTGCTGGGGGAGACGGTTGTTAGGGACGCTCGCCCTTGGCCACGCGCCCTTTGCTGACCTGTGCGTGCTGGCCACACGGCCCAGCAGCCCCAGGCCCGGCCAGTGCCCCCCGTGCCCAGCGGGGGACTTACCGGGGTCTGCGGGGATGTCACTGGCCGCGGCGGCCGGGGTGGCAGCCCCCGGGGAGGAGCGCAGGGCGGGTACGGCCTCCGCTGTGGGTGCCGGCCGCCGGGTGACCACCACGGCCTGCCGGGGGTCCCGCGCCTGGCGCAGGATGGCCAGCGCGTCGCTGTGCGTGGCCCCCTTGAGGGACTTGCCGTTGATGGACAGCACCTCGTCGCCCTTCTGGATGGTGCCCTCCTGGGCGGCCAGCCCGCTGGGAAACACCCTGTGGACCTGGGGGCAGAGGTCAGGGCTCCAGCCTCCTGCGTCAGCCCAGGGTCTCGCCGGGGGTCGGAGCGCGTCGCCAACGTGGGGGTCTCGGGTGTGTCCGAGGCCAGCATCCCCCCCACTCAGAGCAGCCCGTCCTCCCCGCCCGTCTCAGCCTCTGATTGCAGCGGCTTCGGCCCCCAGGGGCCACCACCGTCCAGTCGGCGTCCCGCTCCCGTGGCAGCACCAGGACGCAGCACCTGCGGGACCTGCCTTCCCGGGGCCTCCCGCCAGGTGCCTGACCCACGTCACCGCGGCAGGTCCCCGTCCCGGCTGCACGGCTGCCCTCAGGCCCCGAGGTCACCGGTCACCAGGCCCGGTGTCAGGGCTCCAGAGGGAGGCCGAGGCCCTGGGACTGGGTGTCCTTGGGCGATCACGCTCCCCGCCCGCGTGGGAGACCTTTGTTAAGTGAGGGTCCCGCTGAGGCTGGAGTTGGTCACACGCAGGATGGGAACTGAGCTCCTAGGAAGGGCGGCCACCCGCCCTGAGGCCCCCCCACCCCCACCCCCCCCACCCCTGCCTACCGCCCCTCATCCCAGCACAGGCCGCGGGGCCACTCTCTTGGTCCCTGCCCCCCTCTCCCTCACCCTGACCCTCTGCCTTCCTGGTCCCTGCCCCCTGCCCTCCAGGTCCCTACCCCCTGTCCCTCACTGTGACCCCCTGCCCTCCAGGTCCCTGTCCCCTGCCCCTCACTGTGACCCCCTGCCCTCCAGGTCCCCGCCCCCTGCCCCTCACTGTGACCCCCTGCCCTCCAGGTCCCCGCCTCCTGCCCCTCACCCTGACCCCCTGCCCTCCAGGTCCCTGCCCCCTGCCCCCTGCCCCCACCCCCACTCACCGTGACCTCCTTGCTCTCCAGGTCCGCGCCCCCCGCCAGGCTGAAGCCCAGGCCGGCGCCCTCCTCCTTGTGCAGGATGGTGACGTGGATGCTCTCCAGCTGCTGCGGGGAGAAGCGCGGGACTCGGTCCGAGCTGCTCCGGGGAAGCCGCTTCCCCCCACCCCCCACCCCCCTCCCCCTGCCCCATGTGGGGCGCGGCAGGAGCACCGCGGGGCCCAGCCGAGCCCCCACCCCAGCACCTGCGCCCAGCCCCCGAGCTGCCCGCTCATGGCACCTCCCAGCCTGCCCCGCTGTGGGCCTGGGGTCCCCGCGGGTCACTTCTAAAAGCCAGACGGGCCCCGGGGAGACCCGGAGGCTCCCGCGCCAGTTCCCACGGGGCCCCGCGGGGAAGGCAGGCCCCGGGCGACCGGGTGCTTCGCGCTCGGAAAGGAGAAGCCAGAAGCCAGGCGGTTCCGGTTTCATGGTGTTTGGAGGCTAATGTCTCCAGAGACCAACCTGCGACCCGATCGATGCACCTGCAGGGCACGTGGCTCCCCGGCCACCAGGTGGCGCCCCGGAGCCCCAGCGAGGACGCCGGCAGGGCCCCCGCAGCCCCTGGCTCTGACCTCTGACTCGGAGTCCCCAGGCCTTGCTGCACCCCCCCCCCAACCCCCCAGCCCAGCCTCCCAGCAGTCCCCCCTGGTGCAGAGGCCCTGGGCGAGGGAACCCCAGGCTCCTGACCTGGGATGCAGCTCTCACCCCGGCTGGAGGGTCCCCCCAGGCAGCCCCGGGGTGCACCCACCGCCACCCACCAGGGCCCCAGCCGCCCCCCCACACACACACACACCCTGGGCTGGCGCCTGGCCCCGCGGCCACTGGTGATCAGAAAGCGCGTGGGAAGTGGGACTTGCAGGGGCGGAAGCGCGCGTGCAGCTTGGCCACCCTGGGAGGCCCCGCGGGGTGCAGGGGAGGCCCCATGGGAGCTCGCGCGCTGCTCCCCGGCAGCATCTCCTTGAGATACGCCGGGGGGATGGGGTGCTGGGACAGGAAGTGGCCCCCGCGGAGCGAGAGCAGGCCCTGCAGCCGGAGCCTCGCCTCTGCTCAGGGATCAAGCCAGAGACTGAGCTTAGCACGAGCTGCACCCCAAGCCCAACCCTCCCCCGTGGAGGCCTCGCTGCGGGTCCGGGACGCTGTCCCTCCCACGGGCTCAGCTGCCTCCCTGGGGGCCTCGGAGGCGACGCGCTGTCCCCCCGACGTGAGCCCACCTTCAGCGTGGCCGCGTCCAGCTCCTTCACCTCCTCGATGAACTTCCTCAGCTCCTCGGCGCTGAGCAGGGACAGGACCGCCTGGCCGGGCGCGGGGGCGCAGGCCTCGGCCTCCGCGGGCTCCCCGAGGCCCTCCGTGTACTCCCTCAGCTCCGAGAGGCTGCAGGGGGAGCGGCGGCGGGGTCAGGGCTGCCCCCAGGCCAGGCAGGCCGGGCGCGGAGCGCTGTGCAGGTGCGCGTCCCGTTGCCCATGGCAACAAGCCTGTGGGCCGGGACGGACACCTTCCCCAGGATGGCGAGGTGGGGGCCCGGATGGCAGGCGACTTGTGGGCCCACAGCTGTGCCAGGTGAGGTCCCCCGCGGCCCCACCTGAGCCGGCCATCAGGGGTCAGCTCACTCGCTCAGGGGTGCCCCCAGCTGGCCATCAGGGGTCAGCTCACTCCCTACAGGGGTGCCCCCAGCTGGCCATCAGGGGTCAGCTCACTCGCTCAGGGGTGCCCCCAGCTGGCCATCAGGGGTCAGCTCACTCCCTACAGGGGTGCCCCCACCTGGCCATCAGGGGTCAGCTCACTCGCTCAGGGGTGCCCCCACCTGGCCATCAGGGGTCAGCTCACTCGCTCAGGGGTGCCCCCAGCTGGCCATCAGGGGTGGCTCACTCGCTCAGGGGTGCCCCCAGCTGGCCATCAGGGGTGGCTCACTCCCTACAGGGGGTGCCCGCGAGCCAGCAGCCGGCTCTCCTGGTCTGTGGGACTCATGTACGCCTCTAGCGATGTCTCGATGTCTCGTAGCTTCACTCTGTTTTGCGTGAAGCTGGTCCTAGTCCTGGGGGATCAGCCCTCTGGTTGGCAGGACTGTGGGGGGCCGCCCCCAGCACACCCCACAGCAGAGCAGCTTCTCGGCCCCCCAGAGCGGGACCCTGGGTGGCAGGGGTCCCCCCAGGCCCGGGGCGGGTCTAGTCCCCCCAGGGCGGGCCCTGCACAGGCTGCTGTCTGCAGAGGCTGGGCCTGAAGGGCGCCGTGCGGGGAGGGGAGAATAGAGGAAACTGGGGAACGCAGAGTCCCCAGAAGGAGGGAGGAGTGAATGGGGGTGCCCAGGGCACCGCTGGGGCCGCAGGACTCTGGGGCAAGTGTCGCCACTTCCTCATGTGACCAGGGAGGAATCGGGGAGCCCCGGAGGGACTTGCGTGAGGCCAACGAGGGGGGGGGGGTCATGACCTCCTGTCGGGGGAAGGAGCCCCTGTCCAGGGCCAGCAGGAACCCCAAGGGGGCACCCCTGGCGCCGCGTGTGCGTCCCTGAGGGGGGCGTCCCAGCTCACCTTCACCCCTCCCAGCCCAGCGCTGGGCACGCCTCCTCGGCAGGGAGGCTGAGCTGCCCCTCCCTCGCACGCACGCTCAAACACACACACGAATGCACACACATGCGTATACACGCAGTTGCGGGCACATGCATGCTCATACACACATGTATGCATGTGTGCAGTCATATGCACTACATGCACACGCATACACACGCGTACGTGCACACAGGTGCACTCGTGTGCATGCATACGTGCACACACATGCAGCCATGCACACAGACAAGAGGAGGGCAGGCCGCCCTGAGGGGAGCCGGGGCGCCCTTACTTGAGGGAGAACCCCGAGTCGGTGCTGCTAGCGGCCGCGTCTGGACCGGGCGAGGACGCTGCCGACCCCGCGTCCCGGGGGCTGCCGGGGGCGGGCCCGCCGGAGAGCGCGGCCGAGGCCGGGAGGCACAGCAGGGAGCGCATGACGGCCGAGGACACGTGGCTGCTGAGGGCGTAGAGCGGGCCCGTCCGGTCGTCCGCCGGCGGCACGTCCAGCGACCGCGTGCGGGTCAGCGGGAAGCTGCGGGCGCGCTGGCCGGGCGCCTTGAGCCCCGAGCCCGGGGGCCCGGCCATTGGCGCGGGCAGCAGCCGGGGCAGGGGGTCCGGGGAGGGGGCTTTCTCTCGGGGCGGCGGCTCCGGGGGCGGGGTCCCCAGTGCACCCCCCTCGCCGGCCTCCGTGGTCGCGTGGGGACCAGGGCGCGGCTCCTCCTGCTGCGGCCGTGGCTGCTCCGCGGCGGGGGGCGCCCCTCGCCCCCAGGGGCCAGGACCCCCCCGAACTTCTTGCTTCCCGGACGGCTCCGAGCGGGGGGGCTGCAGGCTGGGTCTCAGGGCGGCTTTGGGGGGCAGCGGGGAGGAGCCGAAGGTCTCGAAGGAGCTGATTTTCTGGCGGATGGAGCCCGAGGCCGGGGCGGGCAGCCCGGAGGGCTTCCTGGAGGCGGCGACCGGCGATTCGCCAGGGTCCGGGCCGCGAGGCCGCAGCCCCTTCAGGCTCTGGCGGAACCAGGCCGGTTTGGGGGCCACGGGGGGGCCCCTCTTCACGGCGCCGCCGTCGGCGGGCGGGTGCCCTCGGGGGGCGCCGTGGCTGGTGTCCGGCTTCGGGGGGCCGCCCTCCGCGGGGCCCGGCGTCCCGTCCACGGCGAGGCCGGGGGGCTGGAGGGCGAGGCTGTGGCTCTCGCTCATGATGGGGCTGAACAGGCTCCGGATGCAGCCGGAGATGCGCACCCACGGGTCCTCGGGGCCGCCGTCCACGCGCGCCGGCCGCTGCAGCCCGGTCACTGCGGACAGACACAGGCGGGGTTGGCGTTGCACCGGCCGAGGGGCCCTCCTGAGGCCTGGTTTCGGGGTGCAGGGCGTGGGGGAGGGGCGGGCAGGAGGCTCGCCCCGGTGGAGGGACCAGCGTTCCGAGGGCAGGGCCGGGTGGAGGCCTCGCCGGTCAGGGTGCGACCCCGTGGTCCTGCCCCCCCAACCCAGGACACGACCCCAACTTGCTCCTTCTAAGGCACCAGGTCTGCAAGGCGCATCCCAGGTCCGCCCGGCTCAGCGGGCGGTGAACACCCTCCTGGACCTGCCCACCCGGCCTGTGCATGGGCCTCCCGCCTGCTAGCCACGTGCTGGCCGGCCTTCCTCCCCTCGCACCCAGAGACAAACTGATCCCCCACGCAGACACCCCGGATCCCCCACGCAGACACTCAGGATCCCCCACGCAGACACCCTGGATCACCCATGCAGACACTGCAGCCTCACCCACTCAGACACCCCGGATCCCCCACACAGACACCCAGGATCCCCCACGCAGACACTGCAGCCTCACCCACTCAGACACCCTGGATCACCCACACAGACATCCCAGATCCCCCACACAGACACCCCCTATCACCCACACAGACACCCCGGATCCCCCCACAGACACCCCCTATCACCCACACAGACACCCCCTATCACCCACACAGACACCCCCTATCACCCACACAGACACCCCGGATCCCCCCACAGACACCCAGGATCACCCACGCAGACACCCCGGATCCCCCCACAGACACCCAGGATCACCCACGCAGACACCCCGGATCCCCCACAGACACCCAGGATCACCCACACAGACACCCCGGATCCCCCCACAGACACCCAGGATCACCCACGCAGACACTGCAGCCTCACCCACACAGACATCCCAGATCCCCCACACAGACACCCCCTATCACCCACACAGACACCCAGGATCCCCCCACAGACACCCAGGATCACCCCACAGACACCCAGGATCACCCACGCAGACACCCCGGATCACCCACGCAGACACCCCGGATCACCCACACAAACACCCCGGATCCCCCACACAGACACTGCAGCCTCACCCACTCAGACACCCTGGATCACCCACACATACACCCCCTATCACCCACACAGACACCCAGGATCCCCCACGCAGACACTGCAGCCTCACCCACTCAGACACCCCGGATCCCTCACACAGACACCCCGGATCACCCCACAGACACCCCGGATCACCCACACAGACACCCCGGATCACCCACACAGACACCCCGGATCACCGCACAGACAGGAGGCTCCCATCCCAACAGCACCCTCGTTCCCGCTGCCTCAACGCGATGGCTCCTGACCCTCCACCAGCCCGCCTTCCGCCATCGCCAGATGCAAGACATGGATCCCCAGGTCAGACTAGGGTCCCACCTTCCGTGGCCTCTGCACGGCCCTTCTCCTGGGGGCCCGCAGTCCTACCTGGGCTGCCGCCTCTGCCCCCCGGCTCGGCCGCCTCGGGGGACGCCGGCTGCAGGCCGCCCTCGGGTCCCGGGCAGCAGGCGAGGGCAGGGGGGGCTCCGGCCCCCGGGACTTCCCGCGGTGGCAGCGGTGGCAGCAGCTGGCTGGCTTCCTGTGGCGTAAACAGGAAGCGAGACTGTGTCAAAACGGTGGCCTCCGTGTGCGACAGGCAAGCGCCGTGTCGGGCAGGAGGCGGGCGAGGGGGGGCCTCGGTGAGAAGTCGGCAGCTCCCGGCCCGAGAACAGGGCCCCGGGTGCTGTGCGGGCCCCGGTCCTCACGCCTCATCCCTGCGGGCATCCGGAACACGGCCTCCGGTTGTATCGGGGTGTTTTGTGTTATTTTTATAGAAAACAAAGGTAGTCACTTTTAACTTAGAAAAAGATGCCCTATTTTTAAAAAAATATTTTTATTGATCTCAGACAGGAAGGGAGAGGGAGAGAAAGAGAAAGATCCATGATGAGAGAGAATCATGGATCGGCTGCCTCCTGCACGCCCCCCACTGGGGATCGAGCCCGCAACCCGGGCATGAGCCCTGGACTGGGAATCGAACCCAGGACCCTTCAGTTTGCGGGCGGATGCTCTATCCACTGAGCCACACCTCTCAGGCCCGAATTGGTCTTTAAACAAACATCCTAGTAGCAGAAGCAACAGGGGACGCTCTGCCCTGGGGGAGCCTGCAGCCGGGCGACTTGGAAATGAACACACGACTCCCACACAAACACGTGCAGGTTGTCTGAGCAGAGGCGAGGCAGCCACGTGGGGCGGGAGGGCCGACGCACCCGGGTGGCCACACGCGCACGTGATCGTGGGTAAAGCAGGTGTTTGGCCGGATTCCATGAATGAAGCTCCGTGGCCTTCAGTTACTGCTAAGTCCTCCTTTGGTTGACGATCTCACAAACACTTTCCGCCAAGAAATACTGTCCTTGGAATCCAAAATGGGGCCCCTTTCCTGCCACCCCATGAGCTACACGTGACCTACTGTTGTTAGGCTTTGTGTCTGCGTTGCTGTGGTCCATGGAGGCCAGCGGTTCTCAACCTTCCTAGCGCCGCGACCCTTTAATATGGTTCCTCATGCTGTGGCGACCCCCAATCTCATTGCTACACATTGAACATCATGAAAGCATAGCGATTCACCACAAAAACAAGCTGTAATGATAGATGTGTTTTCCGATGGTCTTAGGCGCCCCCTGTGAAAGGGTCGTTCAACCCCCAAAGGGGTCGCGACCCACAGGTTGAGAACCGCTGATAGGCCAAGCCTGTCACACTCGTGAAATAAACGAGGCATGCGGCCCGCGGGCCGCGAGTTTGACATGCTTGGTGTAGGGTAGGCGGTCAGCAGGGTTGGTGGGCGATGTGTATCGGGATTACCGGTTACAGAGCAGCCTCCTCGATGGGGCCTAAATCACCACCAGCTCAGCCCTGGCCGGTGTGGCTCAGTGGATAGAGCGTCGGCCTGCAGACTGAAGGGTCCCGGGTTCGATTCCGGTCAAGGGCATGTACCTTGGTTGCGGGCACATCCCCATTGGGGGGTGTGCAGGAGGCAGCTGATCGATGTTTCTCTCTCATCGATGTTTCTGGCTCTCTATCTCTCTCCCTTCCTCTCTGTAAAAAATCAATAAAATATATTTAAAAAAAAAAGTCAGGGCCTCTGCCCGCCGGCGAGTGTCCACGGGGAAGGCCATGCTGTCAGGATTCCACGGGGTGAAGGGACGCGGGGCAGCACCGTCAGTGTTCGTCTGGTTGAGATTATGTTGGGATCGTGTGTGATGTAGACCGATGGCTGGCAGCGATGTCAGGTAGGAGTGGAGGACGGAAGTACAGTGTTTAGGGCAAGCATGTCAAACTCGCGGCCTGCGTACGGCCACAACGAATATTTTTGCAGCCCAGCCAATATAACGGTACTTAAGGAACGTTTTAATAAAAATTTCGTGACTTAATTTTTACACTATCCTATTATACGTAACCCTATGTAATAAAACCCTAATACGCAAATCGACCGAACAGCAGAACAACCCATCGCTCTAACGCGTACTGACCACCAGGGGGCCGACGCTCAATGCAGGCGCTGCCCCTGGTGGTCAGTGGGCTCCCACGGGGGGGAGCACCACTCAGCCAGAAGCCGGGCTCACGGCTGGTGAGCTCAGTGGCGGTGTTGGGAGCCCCTCCCGCCTCCGCTGCAGGTGGGTGGTAAGGAGCCAGGGGTCACAGACTGCGAGAGGGATGTCTGACTGCCGGCTTAGGTCACAGGCCAGGCCAAGGGACCCCATCTGTGCACGAATCCATGCACTGGGCCCCTAGTTATTAATAACAAACTACAACGTTCGCTAACGACTGATGACTGTCATCGTGTTGCATTCGCGTCCCTCACACGCCTCACGCGCAGGCGCACCGTCTCTCCCCACTGATTCCGGCAGTGAAGGTTCTAGCAGCCGGTGGCCACGTCCTCAGTCTGGGACTGACCTGCTTGGTGTGCAAAACAGGAAATACATTGCTTCCGGAGAACGAGAGAAATGGGTTTATTGGCGTAACGCTTATCCATTTGTGCAGGGACTCAGTGTCTGGTGAGTTCATGTCCAAGAAAAAAAGATTAATTTTTACTAAAATGTTCTGTTACGTTATGTTAATGGTGACTCATTTATCTCAGCCCTTTGCATTCAGCACGGCTCCATCGAAAGAAACCTACGTTTCTATGAAAACGGAAGCTTTTGTCTTTTTGCGGCCACGTCCACGCAAACCGTGTTCATCTGGCCCGTGTTGGCCTCTGACCGTGACATGCTTGGTTTAGAGGTGCAGTGGGGGTGCTTGGGGCAGCGAGAGGAGAGCAGGGTGTAGGTCCCACAACAGAAACGTCAGAGGATCTAAGGAAACGTATGCTTACGCGGCCGGGCCAGACCCACGCTTCCTGTGTCATTCCTGACTGTGACCACATACTGACCGGTGCAGCGGGCCTTGACTTACGAGTTTAATTCGTTCGGAGACCGAGCTCGTTAAGGAGCTCGTTAACTCAAATTACTCTGTCAACTCAATGCAAAAAATCGGCGGAGAGACAGCTGGTTTCTCAAAAAACTCGTTAGTCGGGGCACTCGTAAGTCAAGGCCCCGCTGTACTGAGGCCGGTGGGGCAGGAATGAGTGCTGGCATTTTCATTGCATTTATAGCGCGGACAGCGTTCGCCAACCCTAAGGTTTCAGGTGTAAAAATTCAGCAGGACCCCTCCCCCCCCAGCCTCTCCCCGCCCCCCGCCATCAGGTCAGGGCAGAGGCCGGAGGCGGCCCTGCAGTGACCAGCGCCCCGAGGGGAGGAGGGACACGGGGTGAGGGGCCGGAGCCCGTGTCTAGGAAATGCGGGTCCAGCAGCCGGCAAATCAGACGTGGCGGTGGGTGTGAGGCTCCCTTCACGGGGAATCAGCGGGCAAAGGTATGAGAGCTTCCGGGAGGCCCGCTTCCGTGGGCGCGGGTGGGCGTGGGTGGGCGCGGGTGGGCGCGGGTGGGCGTGGGTGGATTCGGGTAAGTTCGGGTAGATTCGGGTGAGTTCGAGTGGATTCGCGTGAGCTCGGGTGGATTCGGGTGAGCTCGGGTGGGCGCGGGTGGGCTCCGGTGGATTCGGGTGAGCTCGGATGGATTCGGGTGAGCTCGGGTGGGCTCGGGTGGATTCGGGTGAGTTTGGGTGGATTCGGGTAAGCTCGGGTAGATTCGGGTGAGTTCGGGTGGATTTGGGTGAGTTCGGGTGGATTCGCGTGAGCTCGGGTGGGCTCGGGTGAGCTCGGGTGGGCTCGGGTGGGCGCAGGTGGGCATGGGTGCGCCCCACTCTGCGGAAACTGCTGCACCCCCCGTGGCCCCATGCTCACCCATCAGCCCTCACCTCACGCTGCCGTCTTCCCAAGCCCCTCAAACTCGGGGAGCTTTGGGCTCCCCCAAACCTACCTGGCATAGGGGCCAGCGCCTCCCATCGCGCGCCAGGCCGGAAGGCGAACCAGCCCGCGGGGCCGGCCGCCTCCTCTCGGGGCAGCGCGTGGGGCCGCCTCCAGGGGCCACTCACCGGGGCGGGGGCCGGGCGCTCCGGGCTCGGGCTGGGCGGCCGGTCGCTGTCGCCCTGGAAGTGTTTCCGGGGCGGGGGCTTGGGCTTGGAGGCCGTGGGCTTCCGCACCAGGATCTCCCAGGACTTCTTCGTCCGCAGGGGCGGGGGCGGCTCCCGGGCCTCGGGCAGGGGCGGGCTCTCCCGGGGGGACCCCCGGGGGCTGTCGGCGCGGCCCCCCAGGTCCCAGGGCGGCGGGGCCCCGCGGCGGGGGCTGCCCCCGGGGGACCCCGACATGCAGCTGCTGTCGCTGCTGGAGCGCACCATGGGCTTCGGGGCGCGGCGCTGGGGGGGCGCCGAGCTCTTGCCAGGCTCCCGCTCCGCCGAGGGCCGCCCGTGCCAGCTGCTCTCCAGCCGCTTGGCGCCTGCGTGCGGGGCAGAGAGGCCGAGCTGAGCCAGCCGGCAGCCGGGCACCGCCAGCACCCCGCCCTGCACCCAGTACCCCGCCCTGCACCCAGTACCCCCTCCCACAGCCAGCACCCCTGCAGGGCCAGTACCCCGCCCTGAGACCAGCACCCTGCCCAGCACCCCGCCCTGCACCCAGTACCCCGACCCACAGCCAGCACCCCCCCCCATGGGCAGCACTCCACCCCACAGCCAGCACCCCGCCCTGAGACCAGCACCCTGCCCTGCAGCCAGCACCCCTGCATGGCCAGCACCCCGCCCCTTGGCCAGTACCCCTCCCCCACGGACAGCATCCCGCCTGCGGCCAGTGCAGCTCAGTGGATAGAGCGTCAGCCTACAGACTGAAGGGTCCCAGGTTCGATTCCCGGTCAGGGCACAGGCCTGGATTGCGGACTCCATCCCCAGCGTGGGGCGTGCAGGAATCAGCCGATCCATGAGTCTCTCTCATCATTGAGGTTTCTCTCTCTCTCTCTCTCTCTCTCTCTCTCTCTCTCTCTCTTTCTCTCTCTCTCCCTTCCTCTCTGAAATCAATAAAGATATATTTAAAAATAAATAAAAAATAAAAGTCCCAACTCCCTTACCTTCCAGGCTCCACTGGGGCCGCTCCTTGCCAAACCGGAGGCCCTTGGCAGCCTGGGCCACGGCAGCTTTGAGCTGCTGCTCCGAGACCTAAGGAAATGCCAGGCACTCGCTGAAACAAACCGCAGGGGCCCGCGCCAAGCTCCCGGCCAGTCCCGGCTCCCCCCGCCCCTCCTCCGGCCCGGGTTCCGCTCTTTCCTGCCTCCCATGTTGCAGATCACTGGGAGCTGGTGAGTCCCATCCCTGGCGCTCCTGGGTGGCTTGGCTCCCAGGCACCTTCCAGGCAAAGTCCATGCCTACCCTAGCGGGGCCCTCCGGCTCTGCCTCCCTGCCCGCTGCCAACTCCAGGCCACGCAACACCTCCCAGCTCACCGGGGTCTCTCTCATCCATTCTCGCCATCACACCCGAGAGTGTCAACTCTCGGAACCAAACACCTTTGGCTCCAGGCCCGCTGCATCCACTTCTATTGCCCTCCCCTCAACTCCTGCTGAAGAATGACAGCAGTGGCCCTGGCTGGTGTGGCTCAATGGGTAGAGCCTCGCCCTGTGGACTGAAGGGTCCCAGGGTCTATTCCCGATCAAGGGCACAGGCCTAGGTTGCGGGCTGGGTCCCCAGTAGGGGGTGTGCAGGGGGCAGCCGATCCATGATTCCCTCTCATCATTGATGCTTCTATCTCTCCCTCCCTCCCGTCCTCTCTGAAATCAATAAAAATATATTTTAAAAATTTTCATTGTGTGTACACAGCACTATTTTTTAACATCAATTTAGAATGCTTTATTTTTTTAAGATATATTTTTATTGATTTCAGAGAGGAAGGGAGAAGGAGAGGGAGAGAGATAGGAGCATCTATGGTGAGAGAGAAGCATGGATCAGCTGCCTCCTGCACGCCCCACACTGGGGATCATGCTGGCAACCCGGGCCTGTGCCCTGACCTCCTGGTTGATAGGTCAATGCTCAACACTCAACCACTGAGCCACACCACCTGGGCTCACCCTTATTCTTTACATTTGCTTCAAGTGTTTGTTTGGGGAGACTTATCTGAGACTTGTCTCTGGTCTCCTATTTGGCTGACAGATAAACAGTATTTCTCTTACTTCACAGGTGAATTTTACCAAACATCCAAAGAACTCACACCATCCTTCTCAAGCTAGTCCAGAAGATTCAAGAGGAAGGAAAACTTCCAAGCTCATTTTATGAGGCCAGCATTATCCTGATCCCAAAACCAGATAAAGACATGACAAAGAAAGAGAATTACAGGCCAGTCTCCCTGGTGAACATAAAGGGTGTCCCAAAATTCACGCAAGGTTTGAATTCTGCGTGAGCATTAACAACAACAAAAATAAATAAAAGCCTAATTTGACTTGGTTTATTGAATCAGATTCTAATATCTGTTGCCCTTTGATTTCAATCCCTTCGATTGGATAAGCATCACCAAGTACCAATGATGGCCCAGGAGCAGGGACAATGAAGACCAATGAGGACCATGGCTTTGCGTCTGTGCCAGCAAAGCCGTGGAGGCCATTTACCCGAAGTGCTATTCCATACATAACCCTAGACTGTATACTTTATGGATCAATAAAAAATTTACAATTTTTAATTATAAACCTGTGTTTTCTATCAAAATTACTTCTTGCATAAATTTTGGGACATGCTTTTAGATGCTAAAATCCTCAACAAAATATTAGCAACCCGGATGCAGCAATACATGACAAAGATCATACACCACGACCACGTGGGACTTATTCCTGGGACACAAGCGTGGTTTGACATCTACAGAGCAATGAATGTGTCAATCAAAGACTCATATAAACAAAATAAAGAATGAAAGTCACATGACCATGTCCATCGATGCAGAATAAGCATTAGACAAAGCACAACACCCATTTTTGATAAAAACTCTCAGCACAGTGGGACTAGAGGAAACACAACATAAGAAAGGCCATATATGACAAACCCACAGCCAACATCTTACTCAATGTGCAAAAACCAAAACCATTTCCCCTAAGAACAGGAACAAGACAGGATGTCCGCTTTCACCACGCTTGTTCACAATAGTACTGGATGTCTTAGCCACAATGATGAGACAAGAAAAAAACAAAAAAACAGAAAACTTATCCAAAAAGGAAAAGAGAAAGTAAAACTGTCATTACTCGCCGATGGCATGACACTGTAGGTAGAGAACCCTAAAGACTCGACCAAAACACTACTAGAACCGATCAATGAATTCAGTAAAGTAGCAGGCTAGACAATAAACCCACAGAAGTCAGTTGCATTTTTATTCACCAATAATGAACTATCAGAAAGGGGAACTAAGGAAACAATTCCATTTACAATCACACACACACACACACACACAAAACACACCTCAGAATAAATTGAACCGAGGATGTAAAAGACCTGTGCTCGGAAAATTATAAGACTCTGAAGAAGAAACCCAGAAAGCTACAACCAAGTGGAAGTGTATACCATGTTCATGGATGGAAGAGCATACCATATTCATGGATGTAAATGTATACCATGTTCATGGATGGAAGAGTATACCATATTCATGGATGTAAATGTATACCATGTTCATGGATGGAAGAGTATACCATATTCATGGATGTAAATGTATACCATGTTCATGGATGGGAAGAATTAACATCATTAAAACGTCCATACGACCCAAAGCAATCTATAGAGTCAACATAATTCCTATCAAGATACCAATGGCACACTTCACAGAACTAGAACAAATATTCCACAAATTTACATGGAACCAAAAAAGACCCCCAAATAGCTACAGCGATCTTGAGAAAGAAGAACAAAGTTGGAGGGATCACGCTGCTTGATATCAGACTATACTACAAGGTTATAGCAATCAAAACAGGCTGGTACTGGCATAAAAAAGACATATAGATCATTGGACCAGAATAAACCTGCGCCTTTAGGTTAATTAGCATTTAACACAGGAGGCAAGAGCATACAGTGGGGTAAAAACAGCCTATTTAACCAAGGGTGTTGGGAAAATTAGGTACGTGCCAAAAAACGAGGCTAGCCCACCTTCTAACACCACATAAAAGAATGAATTCAAAATGGATCAAAGACTTCAGTATAAGACTCAAAACCATAAAAATCCTAAGGAAACAGAGGCAGTAAAATCTCAGACATCTCTCATAGCAATATTTTTTCTCGTCTATCTATCTCCTCAGGCAAGATAAACCAAAGAAAAAAATAAACAAATCGGACGACATCAAAATAGAAAGGTTTTGCACAGCCAAGGTATCCATCAAGACAGCCTACTGAGTGGGAGAATGTATTCGCCAACAACACATCCAATCAGGGGTTAATATCCAAAATGCATAAAAACGGATAGCCCCGGCCAGTGTGGCTCGGTGGACAGAGCGTCGGCCTGTGGACTGAAGGGTCCCAGGTTTGATTCCCGGTCAAGGGCACAGGCCTGGGTTGCGGGCTCGATCCCCAGTGGAGGGCGTGCAGGAGGCAGACGATCCATGACTCTCTCTCATCATTGATGTTTCTCTCTCTCTCCCTCTCCCTTCCTCTCTGAAATCAATAAAAATATATTTAAAAATAAAAAAATAAAAAGAACATATAAAACTCAAGACCAAAAAGGCGGACAACCCAAATGAAAAATGGGCAGAGGACCTGACTCGACGCTTCCCCCAAAGAGACACACAGGTGGCCAAGAGTCACATGAAAAGATGCTCCACGTCACTGATCATCCGAGAGATGCAAATTAAGCCACAGCGAGGGACCACCTCACGCCTGTCAGAATGGCTTCCATCAACAAATCAATAAGTGCCAAGTGCTGGTGAGGATGCAGAGAAAAGGGGTCCCTGTGTACAGCTGGTGGGGATACAGATGGGTGCAGCCACTGTGGGAAAGTGTGGAGTTCCGTGGCACCCCGGCCTGGGGGACAGAACGCTCTCTCTCATCCCCTATCGGGGCCTGGCCAATGGTTTCCTTCCCCGGGGCCTGTCCGCCAGCTGCAGGAGCTGCCCTGACACCACCTGTCTGCCCCCGATGCCACCTGCCCCTGTATCTAGAGCTGGTGGGTGAGCCTCGCTGTGGCCTTGGTCCCGTTCTAAGAACCGAGGCAGAAACCCAGCAGTTCTCGCTCTGATTTCAGCGCTAACCGAGTGAGACGCCCCATGCGTGGGGTTACCTGCGGGTCCGGGTGTCGGCTGACAAGGATGGGGACGGGCCCGGGCTCACAGTGGCTCAGGACCGCGTACACGTCGTTGAGCGTCATGCAGGTCACGGGGGCCTCATTGATCTCCACGATCTCATCGCCACACCTGCGGGGGCACCAGCGGGGCCCCGGGGAAGACAGCATGGAGTTAACTCCAAAAATTTAAAAGACAACTGCCTTAGGGCAGCGATGCCACTTCTGGGAGTACATCCGAAGAATCCCGAAACACGGACTCGAAAGAATGTACGCAGCCCCGTGTTCACTGCAGCATTATTGACAACTAGAGGCTCGGTGCACCAAATCCGTGCACTCAGGGGCGGAGGGGGGTGTCCCTCAGCCTGGAATGCGAGAGGGCGCAGGCCAGGCCGAGGGACCCCACCAGTGCACAATCAGGGCCAGAGAGGGACTGCAGGAGGCTGGCCAGCCAAAGAGGGACTGCAGGAGGGCTCCAGGGCATGTCCGGCCCCTCTCACTCAGTCCCGATTGGCCGGACCCCAGCTGCAAGCTAACCTACCGGTTGGAGCATCTGCCCCCTGGTGGTCAGTGCACGTCATAGCGACTGGTTGAGCGGCCTTAGCATATCATTAGCATATTTTGCTTTGATTGATTGAATGGCCAACCGGACGACTGGACACTTAGCATATTAGGCTTTTATTATATAGGCTAGCCGAGATCTGGAAGCACCCCAGGTGCCCATCAGTAGTCGAGCGGATAAAAGCGCCCTGGGACATCTACACCGTGGAATACTACGCGGCTGTGACAAAGGAAGAGATCTCACTTTCTTCGACAGCACGGAGGGACCCGGAGAGCGTGACGCTCAGTGCAATAAGCCGGTCGGAGAAAGACAAGTGCCCTGTGATTTCACGTCTATGTGGAATCTAAATAAACAGGCAAACGCAACAGAAACGGACTCATAGAGATGGGGAACAGACTGACAGGCGTCCAGGGGAGGGGTGGCAGGACGGGATGAAAGAGGGGAAGGGATTAAGCAAACAAACAAACAAAAACTCACCAACGCAGACTCCAGCAGGGTGATGCCCAGAGGGGGCGGGGGCAGGGGAGGTAGAAGCAGGAAAGGGGGGGACCAATGGTGACGGAAGGACACTTGGGGCAGGGAACACACAATACAATACACAGAGGACGTATCATGGACTTGTACCCCTGACACCTATATAATTGTATCAACGAGTGTCACCCCAATAAATTCAATGAAATCGCTGAAAAAGTTATGCTGCCCTGGCCGGTGTGGCTCAGTGGATAGGGCCTCAGCCTGTGGACTGAAGGGTCCCAGGTTCGATTCCCGGTCAGGGCACAGGCCCGGGTTGTGGGCTCGATCCCAGTGGGGGGTGTGCAGGAGGCAGCCGATCCTTGATTCTCTCTCATCATGGATGTTTCTCTCTCTCTCTCCCTCTCCCTTCCTCTCTGACATCAATCAAAATATATTTTAAAATAAAAATAAAGAGTTATGCCTGAAACTCAGTTCTTCAGGCCAGCACGAAAGCCAGCTGATACCACAGACTCGCTCATCACTGCGTCCTGCAGATGGAGCCAGGGTAAGCCTGGGCCACGCCTGCACATCGCCACTCGCCCTGGGCAGTGGGACCTGAGTACATGGCTCCTCCCGCCTCCTCATCCTCGTTGGCCCGGCTGCTCTCGCAGGCCTCGCCCTCACCTGCACCTTCTGGGACCTTAGCCAGGGTAGCCGGACTCAGCAGAGCTGGGCAGGGCTACGATTCTGCGCCTCTAACCACCTCCCCTGCTATTGCCTCGATTCTGCACCTCTAACCACCTCCCGGCTATTGCCTCGATTCTGCGCCTCTAACCACCTCCCCTGCTATTGCCTCGATTCTGCATCTCTAACCACTTCCCCTGCTATTGCCTCGATTCTGCACCTCTAACCACCTCCCTGCTATTGCCTCGATTCTGCGCCTCTAACCACCTCCCCTGCTATTGCCTCGATTCTGCGCCTCTAACCACCTCCCCGCTATTGCACAATTCTGCACCTCTAACCACCTCCCCTGCTATTGCCTCGATTCTGCTCCTCTAACCACCTCCCCGCTATTGCACAATCTGCGCCTCTAACCACCTCCCTGCTATTGCCTCGATTCTGCATCTCTAACCACTTCCCTGCTATTGCCTCGATTCTGCACCTCTAACCACCTCCCTGCTATTGCCTCGATTCTGCGCCTCTAACCACCTCCCCTGCTATTGCCTCGATTCTGCGCCTCTAACCACCTCCCCTGCTATTGCCTCGATTCTGCTCCTCTAACCACCTCCCCTGCTATTGCCTCGATTCTGCATCTCTAACCACTTCCCCTGCTATTGCCTCGATTCTGCACCTCTAACCACTTCCCCTGCTATTGCCTCGATTCTGCATCTCTAACCACTTCCCCTGCTATTGCCTCGATTCTGCATCTCTAACCACTTCCCCTGCTATTGCCTCGATTCTGCACCTCTAACCACCTCCCTGCTATTGCCTCGATTCTGCGCCTCTAACCACCTCCTCTGCTATTGCCTCGATTCTGCACCTCTAACCACCTCCCCTGCTATTGCCTCGATTCTGCACCTCTAACCACCTCCCTGCTATTGCCTCGATTCTGCACCTCTAACCACCTCCCTGCTATTGCCTCGATTCTGCATCTCTAACCACTTCCCCTGCTATTGCCTCGATTCTGCACCTCTAACCACCTCCCTGCTATTGCCTCGATTCTGCGCCTCTAACCACCTCCCCTGCTATTGCCTCGATTCTGCGCCTCTAACCACCTCCCCTGCTATTGCCTCAATTCTGCATCTCTAACCACTTCCCCTGCTATTGCCTCGATTCTGCATCTCTAACCACCTCCCCTGCTATTGCCTCGATTCTGCGCCTCTAACCACCTCCCCTGCTATTGCCTCGATTCTGCGCCTCTAACCACTTCCCCTGCTATTGCCTCGATTCTGCACCTCTAACCACCTCCCTGCTATTGCCTCGATTCTGCACCTCTAACCACCTCCCTGCTATTGCCTCGATTCTGCATCTCTAACCACTTCCCCTGCTATTGCCTCGATTCTGCGCCTCTAACCACCTCCCTGCTATTGCCTCGATTCTGCGCCTCTAACCACCTCCCCTGCTATTGCCTCGATTCTACACATCTAACCACCTCCCTGCTATTGCCTCGATTCTGCATCTCTAACCACTTCCCCTGCTATTGCCTCGATTCTGCACCTCTAACCACCTCCCTGCTATTGCCTCGATTCTGCGCCTCTAACCACCTCCCCTGCTATTGCCCTCGATTCTGCATCTCTAACCACCTCCCTGCTATTGCCTCGATTCTGCATCTCTAACCACCTCCCTGCTATTGCCTCGATTCTGCGCCTCTAACCACCTCCCCTGCTATTGCCTCGATTCTGCATCTCTAACCACCTCCCTGCGATTGCCACGCACCTGCCCGCCAGCCCTCCCGCCAGCCCGAGGGACCCGGTTTGTTCCAGCCCCGAGTGAGGGGGGACCTACCGGAGCCGGCCGTCCAGGTGAGCCACCGACCCCGGGGACAGCGTGTGCACGAAGACGCCCGACAGGCACTGCAGGTACGGGACACTGCACAGCCCGATGCCCAGGCCCACGCCAGCCTCTGCGGGCACACGGGGTGGGGGGGGGGGGGTGATGGCTCTCCCGGGAGCGAGCGAGCCCCTTGGGTGCCCACACCCCATCTCCTGGCGCTGTGCCCCGACCCTCCTGTTCGCGGGACATCCCCTGGGTGGGCACTGCTCCAGGGTCAGCGACCCCGGCAGGAGGGTGCTGAGCGCAAGTGGGGAAGGCAGGGAGGGAGGGGGAGGGAGGGGGAGGGAGAGAAAGGGGGAGGGAAGGAGAGGAGGGAGAGTAGGGAGGGAGGGAGAAGGAAGGAGGGGGAGGGGTGATGGGGGAGGGAGGGGGAGGGAGGAGGGAGGAGGGAGGAGGGAGGAGGGAGGAGGGAGGAGGGAGGGGCTGGTGTTTGCTCCGTCCCTGAGCTCTGGGGGAGCCTCAGCACACGGACTGGGGGGCCCTGTCCCGGGACCCGCGGGCACACAGAGCCTGGATCAGCTCTGAGCGGCAGCGTCCTGACGGGGGACCCACTCCACGCTCGGAGAGTCTGGGGTGGCCTGGGTGGGGGCCGGGCAGGAGGGAGGGGACAGCCCTGGCGGGGGGTGGGGGGCCGGTACCTTTCTGCAGCGAGACCTCCACCAGGACCCTGTAGCTGGGCCTGGCGCTGCCGCTGCCGGTGCCGGTGCCGGTGCCGGCGGGAGCCTCCGGGGCCGCCAGGAGGAAGGCGCTGCCGGCCCGCGGGGCGCAGGCGCCGGAGCTCAGGGAGCGGCCCAGCGGGGGCGACAGGCGGCCGCCCGGGGCGGGGGGCGCGGGCAGGCGGGTGCGCACCGTGAGGCTCAGCAGCCCCTTCTTGGCGAGCTGCAGGGAGAGGGCGCGGCGTCCAGGGCCGGGCGCGGGCGAGGGCACGGGTGTGTGTGCGTGTGTGCGTGTGTGCGTGCGTGCGTGTGTGTGTGCATGAACATATGCATGACGCACCTGTGTGTATGCACACAGGTAGCACGTGCTGCACGTAGGACACAGGTGTGGCACATGCAAAGATCAGAGCCTGGAGCTGTTCAACTAGATGGAGGCTCAAAAATATCTTCAGGCCCCGCCGGCGTGGCTCCGTGGCTGAGCATCAACTTCGGAACCAGGAGGTCACGGGTTCGATTCCCGGTCAGGGCACAGGCCCGGGTTGCGGGCTCCATCCCCAGTGGGGGGCGTGCAGGAGGCAGCTGATCCACGATTCTCATCATGGATGTTTCCATGTCTCTCTCCCTCTCCCTTCCTCTCTGACAAAAATAAAAATATAATTTAAAAAAAATACCTTCAGCCCTGACCGGTGTGGCTCAGTGGATAGAGCGTCGGCCTGCAGACTGAAGGGTCCCGGGTTTGATTCCGGTCAAGGGCATGTACCTGGGTTGTGGGCACATCCCCAGTAAGGGATGTGCAGGAGGCAGCTGATCGATGTTTCTAACTCTCTATCCCTGTCCCTTCCTCTCTATAAAAAAATCAATAAAATATTTTTTTAAAAAAATCATTAAAAACATTTTTTTAAAAATGCCTTCGGGACCTGCCTGCAAAACCTGAAGCAGATTTGTCACTACGTCAACACGAACACAGATGTGTAACCCCCCGGCCAGGCTGCAGTGGCTGAAATCTCCCCGGACAGTCCCGACCCACCACTGCCCGCCCCGACCCAGGCCCCCTTCCCCGGCCCCCCAGCCCCGCGGCTGCCCGGGGGCCCGGGTGGGAATGGGGGTGTGAGCGAGGCCAGAGATGCTGAGTCTGGGAACAGCCGCTCACCTTGAACTTCTGCAAGGCGTCCTGGTGAGTCAGCCCGGCCATGGACTCACCGTTGAGTTCCAGAATCTCGTCGCCTGTGGGGCCGGGAGAGATGGGGGCTGGCAGAGGGCTGCCCGACCAGGGACCCTGAGATCTGGCCCCTGCCCAGCGTTTGCACCAAAACACCCTGAAGACATTCTCCTTCCGTATCTGCCCCCCAGGAAGCTGTGGGGGGCAGCGTGAGAAGCCCCCTGGCACCTCTGGTCTTCCGGGGGGCGGGGTGTTAGCCGGGCGCATGTGGCCTGGCCTGGTCCCTGTCCACCTCCTGCCCCACCTCCTAGGCCAGGGGTGGGCAACCCCTGGCACGCGTGCCAAATGTGGCACACGAAACCCTCTCTTATCATCTTCCGTTTACAATTTTTTTCTTAATATCGACTTTTTTTATTTTTCAGATAAATTCGGTGCAGGTGCATCTTAAATAAATAATTTTACAGAACATGTAGACATTAAAAAATAAATGTATTTGTCATCATCATAGACTGTTTTTGTCGCTTGAGTGAATTGTATTATTTCTTCAGGGTTCTTCACATGCGCACACCTTAAGAGACAGCAAGTAGGCGTAACGTGTTCTGAAAAAATTAGGGTCGGCACGCAGGAGAATTCTGAGCCAGAGATTTTGCTGGTTTGGGCACGCACTCGCACAAAGGTTGCCCACCCCTGTCCTAGGCGCTCCTGTGGCCGCCCCTAGCCTAGCCCGTCCTCGTCTCGCCGTCCCAGCGCCAATAAACGTTCCCCCATCGTCACCACATAGGACTCGCCGGTGAAATCTTTCCTGCACGGAGACCAGGGCTCACACACGCCCAGTCGGCCCCCCCCCCACAGACCCGCCAGGGCCCCGCCCACCCCAGGCCATCCCTGTGGTTCTGAGGGAGGGGCAGGGACCCCGAAGGGGAGGGAGGCCAGTGGGTGCAGGAACGGAGAGGGACCTCGGAAGAAGGCAGCGTCAGAATGAGGGGGGCTCGCTGGGTCTCTGGCCCGGCTGGACGGAGTGTGCAGACCCCGGCGCCCAGGCCTGGGGTCCCCGCAGGCAACTCCGCAGGCCCCGCACCTGCTTGGCTGGGGGTCCTGGGAGGGGCTGGGAGCGTACCTTCTTGTAGCCGGCCGTCGGCCGCCGCGGCTCCCCCCTCAAAGATGGTTTTGACGTAGATGCCGATGGGACCGTAAATGCTGTCTCTGCCCCCCACAATGCTGAAGCCGAGGCCCTGGGGGAAGAGCGGCCGTCAGAGGGTCCTGGGGTCCCCCCCACTGGGCAGCCCCAGGGAGGGAAGAGGTGAGGGAGGAGCTCGGGGGGGAAGAGGTGGCAGGGGTGAGGGAGGAGCTCAGGGGGAAGAGGTGGCAGGGGTGAGGGAGGAGCTCGGGTGGGAAGAGACGGCAGGGGTGAGGGAGGAGCTCAGGGGGAAGAGGTGGCAGGGGTGAGGGAGGAGCTCGGGGGGAAGAGGTGGCAGGGGTGAGGGAGGAGCTCGGGGGGGAAGAGGTGGCAGGGGTGAGGGAGGAGCTCGGGGGGGAAGAGACGGCAGGGGTGAGGGAGGAGCTCAGGAGGAAGAGGTGGCAGGGGTGAGGGAGGAGCTCAGGGGGAAGAGACGGCAGGGGTGAGGGAGGAGCTCGGGGGGGAAGAGACGGCAGGGGTGAGGGAGGAGCTCAGGGGGAAGAGGTGGCAGGGGTGAGGGAGGAGCTCGGGTGGGAAGAGACGGCAGGGGTGAGGGAGGAGCTCAGGGGGAAGAGACGGCAGGGGTGAGGGAGGAGCTCGGGTGGGAAGAGACGGCAGGGGTGAGGGAGGAGCTCAGGGGGAAGAGGTGGCAGGGGTGAGGGAGGAGCTCGGGGGGAAGAGAAGTCAGGGGTGAGGGAGGAGCTCGGGGGGGAAGAGACGGCAGGGGTGAGGGAGGAGCTCGGGGGGGAAGAGACGGCAGGGGTGAGGGAGGAGCTCAGGGGGAAGAGGTGGCAGGGGTGAGGGAGGAGCTCGGGGGGAAGAGACGTCAGGGGTGAGGGAGGAGCTCAGGGGGGAAGAGACGGCAGGGGTGAGGGAGGAGCTCGGGGGGGAAGAGACGGCAGGGGTGAGGGAGGAGCTCAGGGGGAAGAGGTGGCAGGGGTGAGGGAGGAGCTCGGGTGGGAAGAGACGGCAGGGGTGAGGGAGGAGCTCAGGGGGAAGAGACGGCAGGGGTGAGGGAGGAGCTCGGGTGGGAAGAGACGGCAGGGGTGAGGGAGGAGCTCGGGTGGGAAGAGACGGCAGGGGTGAGGGAGGAGCTCAGGTGGGAAGAGACGGCAGGGGTGAGGGAGGAGCTCGGGTGGGAAGAGGCGGCAGGGGTGAGGGAGGAGCTCGGGTGGGAAGAGACGGCAGGGGTGAGGGAGGAGCTCGGGTGGGAAGAGACGGCAGGGGTGAGGGAGGAGCTCAGGGGGGAAGAGACGGCAGGGGTGAGGGAGGAGCTCAGGGGGGAAGAGACGTCAGGGGTGAGGGAGGAGCTCGGGGGGGAAGAGACGGCAGGGGTGAGGGAGGAGCTCGGGGGGGAAGAGGTGGCAGGGGTGAGGGAGGAGCTCGGGGGGGAAGAGACGGCAGGGGTGAGGGAGGAGCTCAGGGGGAAGAGACGGCAGGGGTGAGGGAGGAGCTCAGGGGGGAGAGACGGCAGGGGTGAGGGAGGAGCTCAGGGGGAAGAGACGGCAGGGGTGAGGGAGGAGCTCGGGGGGGAAGAGACGGCAGGGGTGAGGGAGGAGCTCGGGGGGAAGAGACGGCAGGGGTGAGGGAGGAGCTCGGGTGGGAAGAGACGGCAGGGGTGAGGGAGGAGCTCAGGGGGAAGAGACGGCAGGGTGAGGGAGGAGCTCAGGGGGAAGAGACGGCAGGGGTGAGGGAGGAGCTCGGGTGGGAAGAGACGGCAGGGGTGAGGGAGGAGCTCGGGGGGAAGAGACGGCAGGGGTGAGGGAGGAGCTCAGGGGGAAGAGACGGCAGGGGTGAGGGAGGAGCTCGGGTGGTAAGAGACGGCAGGGGTGAGGGAGGAGCTCAGGGGGAAGAGACGGCAGGGGTGAGGGAGGAGCTCAGGGGGAAGAGACGGCAGGGGTGAGGGAGGAGCTCGGGTGGGAAGAGACGGCAGGGGTGAGGGAGGAGCTCAGGGGGAAGAGACGGCAGGGGTGAGGGAGGAGCTCAGGGGGAAGAGACGGCAGGGGTGAGGGAGGAGCTCGGGTGGGAAGAGACGGCAGGGGTGAGGGAGGAGCTCGGGGGGAAGAGGTGGCAGGGTGAGGGAGGAGCTCAGGGGGGAAGAGACGGCAGGGGTGAGGGAGGAGCTCAGGGGAAGAGACGGCAGGGGTGAGGGAGGAGCTCGGGGGAAGAGGGTGGCAGGGGTGAGGGAGGAGCTCGGGGGGGAAGAGGTGGCAGGGGTGAGGGAGGAGCTCGGGGGGGAAGAGACGGCAGGGGTGAGGGAGGAGCTCAGGGGGGGAAGAGGTGGCAGGGGTGAGGGAGGAGCTCGGGTGGGAAGAGACGGCAGGGGTGAGGGAGGAGCTCAGGGGGGAAGAGGTGGCAGGGGTGAGGGAGGAGCTCGGGTGGGAAGAGACGGCAGGGGTGAGGGAGGAGCTCGGGTGGGAAGAGGTGGCAGGGGTGAGGGAGGAGCTCGGGTGGGAAGAGACGGCAGGGGTGAGGGAGGAGCTCGGGTGGGAAGAGACGGCAGGGGTGAGGGAGGAGCTCGGGGGGGAAGAGACGGCAGGGGTGAGGGAGGAGCTCGGGGGGGAAGAGGTGGCAGGGGTGAGGGAGGAGCTCAGGGGGGAGAGACGGCAGGGGTGAGGGAGGAGCTCGGGGGGGAAGAGGGGGCAGGGGTGAGGGAGGAGCTCAGGGGGAAGAGACGGCAGGGGTGAGGGAGGAGCTCAGGGGGAAGAGACGGCAGGGTTAGGGAGGAGCTCAGGGGGAAGAGACGGCAGGGGTGAGGGAGGAGCTCAGGGGAAGAGACGGCAGGGGTGAGGGAGGAGCTCAGGGGGAAGAGACGGCAGGGGTGAGGGAGGAGCTCAGGGGGAAGAGACGGCAGGGGTGAGGGAGGAGCTCAGGGGGAAGAGACGGCAGGGGTGAGGGAGGAGCTCAGGGGGAAGAGACGGCAGGGGTGAGGGAGGAGCTCAGGGGGAAGAGACGGCAGGGGTGAGGGAGGAGCTCAGGGGGGAAGAGACGGCAGGGTGAGGGAGGAGCTCAGGGGGAAGAGACGGCAGGGGTGAGGGAGGAGCTCAGGGGGGAAGAGGCGGCAGGGGTGAGGGAGGAGCTCAGGGGGAAGAGACGGCAGGGGTGAGGGAGTAGCTCAGGGGGAAGAGCGGCAGGGGTGAGGGAGGAGCTCAGGGGGAAGAGACGGCAGGGGTGAGGGAGGAGCTCAGGGGGAAGAGACGGCAGGGGTGAGGGAGGAGCTCGGGGGGGAAGAGACGGCAGGGGTGAGGGGAGCGGGGAGTAGGGTGAGGGAGGAGCTCGGGGGGAAGAGGTGGCAGGGGTGAGGGAGGAGCTCAGGGGGGAAGAGACGGCAGGGGTGAGGGAGGAGCTCAGGGGGAAGAGACGGCAGGGGTGAGGGAGGAGCTCGGGGGGAAGAGGTGGCAGGGGTGAGGGAGGAGCTCGGGGGGGAAGAGGTGGCAGGGGTGAGGGAGGAGCTCGGGGGGGAAGAGACGGCAGGGGTGAGGGAGGAGCTCGGGGGGGGAAGAGGTGGCAGGGGTGAGGGAGGAGCTCGGGTGGGAAGAGACGGCAGGGGTGAGGGAGGAGCTCAGGGGGGAAGAGGTGGCAGGGGTGAGGGAGGAGCTCGGGTGGGAAGAGACGGCAGGGGTGAGGGAGGAGCTCGGGTGGGAAGAGACGGCAGGGGGTGAGGGAGGAGCTCGGGTGGGAAGAGACGGCAGGGGTGAGGGAGGAGCTCTGGGGGGAAGAGACGGCAGGGGTGAGGGAGGAGCTCGGGGGGGAAGAGGTGGCAGGGGTGAGGGAGGAGCTCAGGGGGGAGAGACGGCAGGGGTGAGGGAGGAGCTCGGGTGGGAAGAGGTGGCAGGGGTGAGGGAGGAGCTCAGGGGGAAGAGACGGCAGGGGTGAGGGAGGAGCTCAGGGGGAAGAGACGGCAGGGGTGAGGGAGGAGCTCAGGGGGAAGAGACGGCAGGGGTGAGGGAGGAGCTCAGGGGGAAGAGACGGCAGGGGTGAGGGAGGAGCTCAGGGGGAAGAGGTGGCAGGGGTGAGGGAGGAGCTCAGGGGGAAGAGACGGCAGGGGTGAGGGAGGAGCTCAGGGGGAAGAGACGGCAGGGGTGAGGGAGGAGCTCAGGGGGAAGAGGCGGCAGGGTGAGGGAGGAGCTCAGGGGGAAGAGACGGCAGGGGTGAGGGAGGAGCTCAGGGGGAAGAGACAGCAGGGGTGAGGGAGGAGCTCGGGGGGGAAGAGGCGGCAGGGGTGAGGGAGGAGCTCAGGGGGAAGAGACGGCAGGGGTGAGGGAGGAGCTCAGGGGGAAGAGGTGGCAGGGGTGAGGGAGGAGCTCAGGGGGAAGAGACGGCAGGGGTGAGGGAGGAGCTCAGGGGGAAGAGACGGCAGGGGTGAGGGAGGAGCTCAGGGGAAGAGACGGCAGGGGTGAGGGAGGAGCTCGGGGGGGAAGAGGCGGCAGGGGTGAGGGAGGAGCTCGGGGGGGAAGAGGCGGCAGGGGTGAGGGAGGAGCTCAGGGGGAAGAGACGGCAGGGGTGAGGGAGGAGCTCGGGTGGGAAGAGACGGCAGGGGTGAGGGAGGAGCTCGGGGGGGAAGAGACGGCAGGGGTGAGGGAGGAGCTCAGGGGGAAGAGGCGGCAGGGGTGAGGGAGGAGCTCGGGGGGGAAGAGACGGCAGGGGTGAGGGAGGAGCTCGGGTGGGAAGAGACGGCAGGGGTGAGGGAGGAGCTCCGGGGAAGAGACGGCAGGGGTGAGGGAGGAGCTCAGGGGGAAGAGACGGCAGGGGTGAGGGAGGAGCTCAGGGGGAAAGAGACGGCAGGGGTGAGGGAGGAGCTCGGGGGGGAAGAGGCGGCAGGGGTGAGGGAGGAGCTCGGGGGGGAAGAGGCGGCAGGGGTGAGGGAGGAGCTCAGGGGGAAGAGACGGCAGGGGTGAGGGAGGAGCTCAGGGGGAAGAGACCGGCAGGGGTGAGGGAGTAGCTCGGGTGGGAAGAGACGGCAGGGGTGAGGGAGGAGCTCGGGTGGGAAGAGACGGCAGGGGTGAGGGAGGAGCTCGGGGGGGAAGAGACGGCAGGGGTGAGGGAGGAGCTCAGGGGGAAGAGACGGCAGGGGTGAGGGAGGAGCTCGGGGGGGAAGAGACGGCAGGGGTGAGGGAGGAGCTCGGGTGGGAAGAGACGGCAGGGGTGAGGGAGGAGCTCAGGGGGAAGAGACGGCAGGGGTGAGGGAGGAGCTCAGGGGGAAGAGACGGCAGGGGTGAGGGAGGAGCTCGGGGGGGAGAGGTGGCAGGGGTGAGGAGGAGCTCGGGGAAGAGACGGCAGGGTGAGGGAGGAGCTCGGGGGGAAGAGACGTCAGGGGTGAGGGAGGAGCCTGGGGGAAGAGACGGCAGGGGTGAGGGAGGAGCTCGGGGGGGGAGAGACGGCAGGGGTGAGGGAGGAGCTCAGGGGGAAGAGGTGGCAGGGGTTGAGGGAGGAGGCTCGGGGGGAAGAGGGGCAGGGGTGAGGGAGGAGCTCGGGGGAAGAGACGGCAGGGGTGAGGGAGGAGCTCGGGGGGAAGAGACGTCAGGGGTGAGGGAGGAGCTCGGGGGGAAGAGACGGCAGGGGTGAGGGAGAGCTTCGGGGGGAAGAGTGGCAGGGGTGAGGAGGAGCTCGGGGGGAAGAGCGGCAGGGGTGAGGAGGAGCTCGGGGGGAAGAGACGTCAGGGGTGAGGGAGGAGCTCGGGGGGAAGAGACGGCAGGGGTGAGGGAGGAGCTCGGGGGGGAAGAGACGGCAGGGGTGAGGGAGGAGCTCAGGGGGGAAGAGACGGCAGGGGTGAGGGAGGAGCTCGGGGGGGAAGAGGTGGCAGGGGTGAGGAATGAGCTCATCCCTTACCCCTGCCGTCTCTTCCCTCCCTGAGCTCCTGGGACCCAGAAGGAAGGAGGGACGGTGAGAGAGACTGGGGTGTCTGGCCCGCCCCCTGCCAGGGTCACCCTCCCTGTGTCACCCTCCCTGCGACACACAGCTGCTCAGAGCCCGGTGTCTCCCAGAGGCTCCCTGGCCAGGTCCCCTCACCTTGGCCTGGCCCTTCATCAGCACGACGCTGGAGATGACGGACGGCTGGGCGCCCCCCGAGGGCGGGGCCAGCTGCGCTGTGCTCAGCGACCGCGTGGGCCTGCCTATGCCCTGCAGGGAGGACCGGGTGGGGAGCTGAGGCCACGGACACGGACACACACCCCGCGGGGAGGGGAGGGGCCCAGCGAGGAGAGGACCCCGTCTCACGGAGCCGCCTCCCTGCAGACCAGCCCCAGGCGCACAGTAGGGCCATCCAGGCGACAGGGCCCGGAACCGGCACAGCCACACTGACCAGGACGTGAGTCCTTTAACCAACGTCTCCAGCTGGAGAGCCAGCTGCCAGGAGGGCCCTCCACAGAATTGGGGGCAATTAACGGAGCCCCCTCTTTGCGCCAGGCCAGGGGGGTGGGCAGGGGCAGGTGCCGAGATTGAACGTGGACAGCAAGCGTGTCAAACTCGCGGCCCGCGGGCCACATACGGCCCACAGCGAATGTTTTTGCAGCCCAGCCAATAGAATGGTATGTAAGACACTTTTTAACAAAAGTACCATAACTTAATCTTTACAATATCTTGTTATACATAATCTAGAATAATAACAGGGTAATATGCTAATTAGACTAGACATCTTCAGGACGTCACTCTGGATGTCATTCCGGACGTCCTTCCTGACGAAGCTGGGGCCGGGGGTGCCTGCCGGCGGCGGCAGGAGGAAGGAAGCCTGGATCCCGGGTGCCAGAGGGAAGCCGGTGCCGGCAGCCAGGGGAAGGAAGGCCTACTCTTGCATGAATTTTCGTGCACCGGGCCTCTAGTTATTAATAACGAACTACAACTACAACGTTCGCTAACGACTGATGACTGTCATCTGTTGCATTCGCGTCCCTCACGCGCCTCACGCGCAGGCGCACCGTCTCTCCCCACTGACACCGGCAGCGAAGGTTCCAGCAGCCGGTGGCCACGTCCTTGGTCTGGGACTGACCTGCTTGGTGTGGCAACAGGAAATACCTCGCTTCCGGAGAACGAGAGAAATGGGTTTATCTGCGTGACGCTTATCCATTTGTGCGGTCAGTGTCTGGTGAGTTCATGTCCAAGAAAAAAATATTCGTTTTTATTAAAAGGTTCTATTCCTTTAGGTGAACGGTGACTCGTTTATCTCAGCCCTTTGCATTCAGCACGGCTCCATCGAAACAAACCTGCGTTTCTAAGAAAATGGAAGCTTTTGTTCATTTTGTGGCCACGTCCACACAAGCCTTGGTCACCGGGCCCGTGTTCGCCTCCGAGTGTGACACGCTTGGTGTAGAACCACGGTCGGCAAACCGGGGCTCGCGAGCCACAGGCGGCTCTTTGGCCCCTCGGGTGTGGCTCTTCCACAGAATACCACGGACAGTGCGATTGAAACTTCGTGGCCCATGCGCAGAAGTCGGTGTTTTGTGGAAGGGCCGGTATTTTGTGGAAGAGCCACACTCCAGGGGCCAAAGAGCCGCCTGTGGCTCGCGAGCCGTGGTTTGCTGACCACTGGTGTAGAACGCAGGTTTGGGGAGGCGGACAGGCCTGAGCCACGTCCACAGGAGCCGGGAGCACCTGCCCCCCACACTCGGGCACCGGGAGCCGCCGGGCGAGGGCCCCGGGCGTGGGGCCACAGGGGACCCGGAGCCCACAGGCTGCCCTGGCCCTGGCCCTGGCCCTGGCCGCGGTCACCTGGTGACCTGGGGGACGGGCGGGCCCTCTGTGCCTCGGTTTCCCCGCCTGTGGGACCCTCTGCCCTTGGGAAGCCATCAGGTCAAGCCCCGGCCCCCCAGGCTACCCACTTGCAATCAGAAAACATGCTCAGCCCTGACCGGTGTGGCTCAGTGGATAGAGCGTCGGCCTGCGGACTGAAGGGTCCCGGGTTCGATTCCGGTCAAGGGCATGGACCTGGGTTGCGGGCACATCCCCAGTGGGGGTGTGCAGGAGGCAGCTGATCGATGTTTCTCTCTCATCGATGTTTCTAACTCTCTGTCCCTCTCCCTTCCTCTCTGTAAAAAATCAATAAAATATATTTTTTTTAAAAAAAGGAAAGGTGGCCACTCCAGGCAGCACCTGCCAACCATCGGGGACAAACACCCCTCCCCCGGTGTCCCGGCTGGGGGAGCTCCCAGGGCTGGGGGACAGGACCCTGGCAGAGAGGGGCACCCCGAGACCGCCGGGGAGCCCCGGTGCTGGTGCAAGGCCCTGGGGGGGGGGGGGTCAGGAGCCGCCAGTGGGGAGGAGGCCGCGGAAGGTGGGGTGTCCACGGGGAGGTGCACGCGTGACCACCAGCGGCAGCGGGAGCCCTGGTGAGCGGGGCAGGGCCTGGGGCTTAGGGAACCAGACGGAGGGCAGCTGTGGGGACCTGGGGCGGCACTGGCTTCCGGTCGGCCGGTCGGCCGGTCGGCCGGGCGCCCCCCCTGCAGCTGGTGCCCACAGCGGAGGGCAGGGCGGGCAGCCGCCCGGGCTTAGGTCAGACGCTGGCCGCTTAGGTCTCAGGATGTCTGAGCTCAGCCTGGCCGGGCTTCCGGTCCCCCCGGCAGATCGGGGGCGGACAGGAATGTCTTCCCATGGTTAAGAGTTAGAGGCAACGCCCTGGCCGGTGTGGCTCAGTGGGTAGAGCGTCGGCCTGCGGACTGAAGGGTCCCGGGTTCGATTCCCGGTCAGGGGCACAGGCCCGGGGTGCGGGCACATCCCCAGTGCGGGGCGTGCAGGAGGCAGCCGGTCCCTGATTCTCTCTCATTGATGATTCTGTCTCTCCCTCTCCCTTCTTCTCTGGAATAAAAATATTTTTTAGATTAATTTATTTTTTAAATATACTTTTATTGATGTCAGAGAGGAAGGGAGAGAGAGAGGGAGAGAGAAGCATCCATGATGAGAGAGAATCATGGATCGGCCGCCTCCTGCACGCCCCACACTGGGGATCGAACCCACAACCCGGGCCTGTGCCCTTGGCCCGAATCGAACCCGGGACCCTTCAGTCCACAAGCTAACGCTCTACCCACTGAGCCACACCGGCCAGGGCTGAAATAAAAATATATTTTTAAAAAATAATGAGAGGTGAAGTGCGTGACGTCATGGCTCAGGGTTAAGTTAAAGCCAGGCTGTGAGCCCCGAGGCACCAGCGTCCACTCCCCGCTGTCCGACCGCCGTGTGGCCTGCCCAGGCCCGGCCCTCGCCTGCCCCAGGGTCACTGAGCCGGTGGCACGGGGTCCACACAGCCTGGTCGGGGGCGGCCGGGTCCCTGGCGCCCGGGGCGGGTGACTGTCCTGATGGGGCCTGCGCCCCGCGGTGGCCAGGCCCCCAGGCGGCCCTCCCTGCAGTCTGTGGACTGAACCACCCCAAGTCCTGCTCAGCCCCCTGCGTGGGCCCCGTCCCCCCTCCCGGCCCGCAGCCTCACCCCGGCCCTGCCCATGGGGCCGTCCAGCTGCTGGGACAGCGCCTTCCGGCCGCTGCAGAGCGAGAAGGGCAGCCGGTCTGGGGGGTCCGTGGAGGCAGCCGTGGTCCCGGCCCCTGGGAGATCCGTGTCCGCCGCGCAGTAGGGGTTGACACCTGGGCAGGGGAGTGGGGGAGAGATGGGCAGGGGGAGGGGGAGAGTTGGGCAGGGGGAGGGGGAGAGATGGGCAGGGGATGGGGGAGAGATGGGCAGGGGAGGGGAGAGATGGGCAGGGGGAGGGGGAGAGATGGGCAGGGGATGGGGGGAGAGATGGGCAGGGGGAGGGGGAGAGATGGGCAGGGGAGGGGGGAGAGATGGGAAGGGGGAGGGGGAGAGATGGGCAGGGGAGGGGGAGAGATGGGCAGGGGAGGGGGAGAGATGGGCAGGGGAGGGGGGAGAGATGGGCAGGGGAGGTGGAGAGATGGGCAGGGGAATGGGGGGAGAGATGGACAGGGGGAGGGGGAGAGATGGGCAGGGGGAGGGGGTGAGGTGGGCAGGGGGAGGGGGAGAGGTGGGCAGGGGGGAGGGGGAGAGATGGGCAGGGGATGGGGGGAGAGATGGACAGGGGGAGGGGGAGAGATGGGCAGGGGGAGGGGGAGAGATGGGCAGGGGAGGGGTGGAGAGATGGGCAGGGGGAGGGGGAGAGATGGGCAGGGGGAGGGGGAGAGATGGGCAGGGGATGGGGGGAGAGATGGACAGGGGGAGGGGAGAGAGATGGGCAGGGGGAGGGGGAGAGATGGGCAGGGGAGGGGTGGAGAGATGGGCAGGGGGAGGGGAGAGGAGATGGGCAGGGGGAGGGGGAGAGATGGGCAGGGGGAGGGGGAGAGATGGGCAGGGGAGGGGGAGAGGTGGGCAGGGGAGGGGGGAGAGATGGGCAGGGGGAGGGGGAGAGGTGGGCAGGGGGAGGGGGAGAGATGGGCAGGGGAGGGGGGAGAGATGGGCAGGGGAGGGGGGAGAGATGGGCAGGGGATGGGGGGAGAGATGGGCAGGGGGAGGGGGAGAGATGGGCAGGGGAGGGGGGAAGAGATGGGCCAGGGGATGGGGGGAGAGATGGGCAGGGGGAGGGGGAGAGATGGGCAGGTGGGAGGGGGAGAGATGGGCAGGGGAGGGGGGAGAGATGAGGAGGGGGAGGGGGAGAGATGGGCAGGGGAGGGGGGAGAGATGGGAAGGGGGAGGGGGAGAGAGAGAGATGGGAAGGGGGAGGGGGGAGAGATGGGCAGGGGGAGGGGGAGAGATGGGCAGGGGGAGGGGGAGAGATGGGCAGGGGAGAGGGGGGGAGAGAGCGTGTGTGCCCTCGGAGAGAACAGGGTGCCGAGGCCCCCAGAGCGCAGGTCTCCTGGGCCCCGTGAGCACGGACCCGCGGCGCCCAGAGCGCAGGCCATGGGGACAGGGAGGATCAGCGGTCACGGGCTGCAGACAGCTCCCCCGCCTCCTGTCGGCTCACCTCGCAGCAGGACAAGCGTGTGCGGGGTCGGGAAGCCACACGCAGACCCTGCTGTCAGGGGGTGCAGTCCCCACGGAGGAGACAGAGGGAGCGAGACGGTGCCCAGGACCGCAGAGCCAGAGCGGACAGGCAGGCAGCACCCCCGCCCAAGAGGACCCGACCGCCTCCCCCCACACCACATGCACAGGGTGCGTGAGCACATGGACACATCGCACGCACACACACAGCATGTGCGCACACACATGCACTCACGGCACATACATGTGAACACAGCACTGGTGCACAATGCACACACACACGTGCATGCACACACAGAACATACATACACACACCACACGTGCATGCACGCACAGCACATGCATGCACAACACAGAAAGCCCCCTCACATGCATGCACACACCGCGCACACACATGCACACGCACAGCACGCACACGCCCCTAACACGGGCAGAAGGGGCCACCCCCGACCCCTCGGGGACCTGAGACGACACAGAGCCACCAGCTCCCCTCCTGGGAAGCCGCGCCCGCGTCCACCACCCAGGAGCCTGCAGCGCCTCCGGGTGACAAGCCCGGCCCACGGCCAGAGTGTCCCAGCGGGAACACGCTATGAGCCACACTCGCTGAGAGCCACACACGCTGAGAGCCACACTCGCTGCCTCAGCGCCTCCGTGGCCACATTGAAAACGTCAGGGGCCAGAGGCGAGGGGACGATGTATTCCATTCAGCCCAGCACCCCGACACGGCTGTGTTCCCGCGTGTAACTCACAGAGGACGTGTTATTCAGCTCCTTCCTGAGCTGCTGGCATCTGCTGCCCCCTCCCCCCTTATCCCCCCTTACCCCCCCGCCCCCCGTCTGCACCAGCCACACGTCATGGGCTCCGTGTGTGGCCAGTGGACACTGAGCTGGACAGCACAGCTCAGGGGTCCGGAGGGGACAGGTTTCCTGGCCCCCCTCAGCCCAGGGAGGGACAAGGGCCTGCGGGAGGTCCCAAGAGAACGCGTGAGGTGGGGTGGCTCCCGGGGAAGGGGCTGAGCCGGGCTTGTCCTTGGGATGCAGGGCCCAGGTGTGTGCAGCTGTGAGGGGCAGTCGCTGGCCAGGGTGGGCTCAGAGAGGAGGCAGGAAGGGGCACCCCTGAGGGTGAGACCCCTGAGGGTGTGAGATCCCTGACATGTAAGGGGAGGGGACGAGGGCTCGGGGACAAGGTGAGGTCTCCCTCTCTCTCTGGCCTGAGCAGCTCCAGCGGCAGGAAGTCCAGGGAGGGGCAGGGGAGGGTCACAGGGGAGGACACCCAGCACAGAGCTCATCGGGCATTGTTATTTATTCACTAGAGGCCCGGTGCACGAAATTCATGCACAGAGAGGGCGTCCCTCAGCCCGGCCTGCACCCTCTCCAACCTGGAACCCCTCAGGGGACGTCCGACTGCCGGTTTAGGCCCGATGTGGAAGAGGCTTCCCTCTCGCAATCCGGACCACCGGCTCCTAACTGCTCACCTGCCTGCCTGCCTGCCTGACAGACTCTAACCACTCTGCCTGCTGGCCTGCTTGCCCTCAAACTGCACTTCCCCTCATGGCCTGATTGCCACTAACCGCATCCCCTCCCCTCCTCTCCCCCTTCCCCTCCCCTCCCGTCCCTCTCCCCTTCCATCCCCTCCCCTCCCCTCCTCCCCCTCTCCCCCCCACCCCTCCTCCCTCCTATCCCATCACAGACGAGGTGACAGAGGCCCCGGACAGAGGGCCTTGCTAAGACCAAGGAGGATGTCACATGACTGGGCCCCGTCTTCCATCCTCTGTCCCATCTCCTCACCATGTGGAGCCCACAGAGGGGCTGACCAGACCCCAGACCAGAGGCCCTCCCACTGGCGGGGGCACATGCAGTGAAAATGCTCCCAGGCCAGCGGACACAGCCTGGCCCAGCGGGCCCAGCGGAGACCCGCCCTCCCCACGCGCCCGTCAAGGACCCGGGGGGCCCCCAGGACACTTACTGGTGGAGTTGCTGCGAGTCCTTTGGTGACAGGCTTTGGGGAGCAGGGAGCTGCCACTCTGGGCCTCGAGTTTCCCGGGCTTCTCCTGGGAGGAGGCGGTGGGAGCTTCCTGCAAGACAAGCCCCGTCTTTCACCCACCGGGTCAGCGCCGACCGCCAGCTGTGCCCAGGACCCTGAGGGGCGGACCCCGAGCCTGGAAGTGTCCTCTGTCGCCTCCACGCATCCCAGGCTCCTCGAGGGAGGGAGGGAGAGGCTCTGCCTTCCACGGACACGGGTTCACGAACACGGAACCCTGAGCCGAGGGGCTGCGTGGACGTGGCTCTGACGCAGGAAGTGGGCAAGGGCTGTGGCAGCGATCACAGGTCAGGGTCTCCGTGGGGGATGCAGCCTGAACAAGGACGCTGATCGTGGGGAAATGCCGTTTTAGTGAAATGTGGGCAAGAAAACAAAGGAAAGTGAGAGATCATCACAGAGACTGGTCAGGGTTACGCGTGACATCGATGGCGAGCGGGGGTAGCGGGAGGTGTTAGAGAAGGCGGCCAACTACGTCCCATCGCTCTGGCGCGTAGTAGGCACTTAGAAACACGCGTCGCGGGAACGTTGTGTAAGTAGATGTCTTCGGATCGAACCATCCTTGCATTCTTTTTATTTGTTTCAAAACTAGTTTATTGTGTTAAGGTACTTAGTGTTTATACAGAATCTCCTTTTTGAAGTGTAAATGTTTGTTTGTCTTTAATATATTTTATTGATTTTTGTTTTATTTTATCTAGAATGTATTTGTACAGCAGTGAATGGCGCTGTAAAAAGAAAATATGGGGGATTGGTTAAAATAATGTAAAATAGATGGCAATATTGCTAGAGCTGGGACTCTGGTGTTAAACAAAAAAAAAAGCTAGCTTATTTGTCTCTTTGTCATTCGTTAGACTTTCTGCAAGGCCACTTAATCCAGACTTGTTCCGTGCATTAATCAGATTCTCAGGCGTTGCATGGACCCCCTCTTGATCTTGCCAGGCAGCTAGTAACTGCCTGGCTCTCATCTTCATGTCTTTGTTATCACACTCAATCTCTATTTTATTGATTTTTTACAGAGAGGAAGGGAGAGGGATAGAGTTAGAAACATCGATGAGAGAGAAACATCAATCAGCTGCCTCCTGCATGCCCCCTACTGGGGATGTGCCCACAACCAAGGTACATGCCCTTGACCGGAATCGAACCTGGGACCTTTCATTCCCTAGGCCAACGCTCTATCCACTGGGCCACACCGGTCAGGGCCATCCTTGCATTCTTGAGTATTCGTCTTCTCATACTGCTGTTTTAACTTCAAAATACAGATTTTTAGAGTCCGAGATTAAATCTTCACGCCTGCATGAAGATTTAATCTCGGACTCTAAAAATCTGTATTTTGAAGTTAAATCAGGTTATTGTTCTGTTATCTTTTTCTACCGTGCCCTATGGGTCACGTTTCCTTTGCTGGTTCTTCTTAAAATAAAAAATTTTTAAAACTTTTAAAATTGCATTTTCATACACCAGAAAACAGTCATCTATGTATATAAAAGCCTAAGAGACCAAATGACCGAACAACCAGTCGCTATGACACACACTGACCACCAGGGGGCAGACATTCAATGCAGGAGCTGTGCCCTGGTGGTCAGTGCGCTCCCACAGCCAACCTCCCTCGGCCAGCCAAACTCTGCGGTCCCTCCCCCCGGCCAGCGGGCCCCAATCAGCCCTGATCGGAACTGGGCAAGACGGCGATGGGCCCTGATCGCTGGCCAGGCCAGGGGACCCCACCTGTGCACAAATTCGTGCACCGGGCCTCTAGTTGGAAGATAAAATCATTAAAAATGAAACATGCACAATTCAATCAGGAGATAAAGACTGCCCAGGAACTGATCTGATGAAAGATACGGAGGCCTCTTCCACAGAAAACGACAACACTTTCTGAAAGGCATTTGCATGTGCATACGGAGAAATATATCATGTCTATGAAACTGCAGACTTAGTAATGTACAAATGTCAATCCCCTGCCCCCCAAAAAATCCATCGACAAATTCAGTGAAGCACTAATGAAAACTCAGGTGTGTTTTTTTTGTTCTGTTTCTTAAATAATTTTTTTTTTATTGATGTCAGAGAGGAAGGAGAGGGAGACAGAGAGAGAGAAACATCCATGATGAGAGAGAGAGTCAAGGATCGGCTGCCTCCTGCACCCCCCACGGGCGATGGAGCCCGCCACCCGGGCCTGTGCCCTGACCGGGAATCGAACCCAGGACCCTTCAGTCCGCAGGCCGACGCTCTATCCACTGACCCACACCAGCCAGGGCAGGATTAACACCTTTAACCAGACACAAAACCCACAGACTCTAAAGGGCACGATGGGCAAACTTCACGTTAAAATGAACAGCTTCTACTCATCAACGAAAAGAGTAAAACTGATTGCACCGCGATCCTCCCCCCGTCCCCCCTCCGCCCAGTGATGGAAAAGGCCTAGCAGCCCTGCCCCCCGCCCCCCATCTGAGCAGCAGATGGCCACCCCGCGGAGCCAGGCCAGCCGGGCAGCCCTTCCCACCCAGCAGGCGGAGCGGCCAGGCCCAGCGATGCCTCTGGCCGAGCCAGGAAACAGAGCTGAATGGAGAGCCAGCTGCACCGGCTCCAGCACCAGCTTCCCTCGTTCTCCAGGCCGTTCCACCCACGGGGCCCTGCCTGGACCCTGGGCCACAGGACTGGCCTCCGGGCACCAGCCCCAGGGGCTCTGGCAGCGGGTTTGGGGGATGGTCGGCCAGTGCGGTGCGCAGTCATCATGTAACTGGACAAGGGGTCCGGCCGCCTGTCCCTCCCTGAGCCGATGCGGCCGAGACAGGCTGGCATCGTCTGTGAGCGCTGATTCCAATCCCGCCGGCAGCGTGGGGAGCAGCAGGTCACCCACAAACATCCGCTCTGCCCCCACCACAGGCGGCTGCTTACACTGGGGAGGACAGAGATGGCACGGGAAGGAGGCAAAGGGTGGGCCAGGTGGGCGGTGCACAGGCAATGCGGGCTGTGGCTTTGCAAAGGCCTGTGGGTATGCAAAGGGCTGGGGGTCTGCAAAGGCCTGTGGGTGTGCAAAGGGCTGGGGGTATGCAAAGGCCTGTGGGTGTGCAAAGGGCTGGGGGTATGCAAAGGCCTGTGGGTGTGCAAAGGGCTGGGGGTATGCAAAGGGCTGTGGGTATGCAAAGGCCTGTGGGTGTGCAAAGGGCTGGGGGTATGCAAAGGCCTGTGGGTATGCAAAGGCCTGTGAGTATGCAAAGGCCTGTGGGTATGCAAAGGCCTGTGGGTATGCAAAGGGCTGTGGGTATGCAAAGGCCTGTGGGTATGCAAAGGGCTGTGGGTATGCAAAGGCCTGTGGGTATGCAAAGGGCTGTGGGTATGCAAAGGCCTGTGGGTATGCAAAGGCCTGTGGGTATGCAAAGGGCTGTGGGTATGCAAAGGGCTGTGGGTATGCAAAGGCCTGTGGGTGTGCAAAGGGCTGGGGGTATGCAAGGTCTGTGGGTATGCAAAGGCCTGTGGGTGTGCAAAGGGCTGGGGGTATGCAAAGGGCCATGGGTATGCAAAGGCCTGTGGGTATGCAAAGGCCTGTGGGTGTGCAAAGGCCTGTGGGTGTGCAAAGGGCTGTGGGTATGCAAAGGCCTGTGGGTATGCAAAGGCCTGTGGGTGTGCAAAGGGCTGGGGGTGTGCAAAGGCCTGTGGGTATGCAAAGGCCTGTGGGTATGCAAAGGCCTGTGGGTGTGCAAAGGGCTGGGGGTATGCAAAGGGCTGTGGGTATGCAAAGGCCTGTGGGTGTGCAAAGGGCTGGGGGCCCTGGTTTCTGCAACCAGGTTGTTATGTTTCCATGGTAACAGGCAGGTCCCGGGTGGGAGGATGGGCTGCACTTCCAGGTGAGCTCCCAGGTCCCACTGCAGCTCCCATCAGGCCAGAAGGCGCCTCCTCTACTCAGAGCAGCACAGTCGTGGTTACCAGAGCGTGACTGACATTTTCTACGAGCACAGCTGGTCCCCAATATTCTCTTTCTGCTTCTATCAATCACACCTGTGGCCCCTGCTCCCGCTTCCTGCATCGGAACCACCCCTGCCTGTTCTCCCTCCCCCCCCACACACACAGATGTGTGCACTCACACATACACACACACAGGCACTCACACATACACTCACACACACACACAGTCACCACACACACACACTCACACACCTCACCACACAACACAGACTCACACACACACACCCACCGACACTCACACACACACAGCCTCACACACACACAGACACACACACACAGACACACACACCAACACACACAACACCACACACACACAAGCCACACACACACATAGACACACACAGCCGCACCACACACACACACATAGACCACACACATAGACTCCACACACACACACACACAATCACACTCACACACACACACACTCACATCACACACACATACACACACACACACACACACACATAGACACACACACACACACCACACCACACACACATACACACACACACACACACAGCGCACACACACCACACACACATAGACGCACACTCACACACACACACACACTCAACACACCACACACACAGACACCACACACACATCACACCCACACACAGACGCCACCCAACACTCACTAGACGCACACACACACACACACTCACACACACATAGACGCACACACACACACACTCAACTCACACACACATAGACGCACACACACACACACTCACATAGACGCACACACACACACACACTCACACACACATAGACGCACACACACACACACACTCACACACACATAGACACACACACACACACACACACACAAAAGACGCACACACACACACACACACAGGCACTCACACACATACACTCACACACACATAGACGCACACACACACACACACACACACATAGACGCACACACACACACACACTCACACTCACACACACATAGACGCACACAACACACACTCACACACAGACGCACACGCACACACACACACTCACACTCACACACACATAGACGCACACACACACACCTCACACACACAGAACCACACCACACACACACAC